TGCAGCTTGGCACCAGATAGTGCCAGGCTCGTCCAGCTGCAACGTCACCTGCAAAGTGGCACTTGCCAAGGCATCTGCCCGAACGAAGATCATGGTAGGAGGAGTCGAATCCGTGACCCAAACATGTTGTGTCAGACCACCAGCCGGACTTGAGCTAGAATTCGCCTCTGTCGCCATGTAGGCATGTGACATGTAGTTGGGGCGCGGGACCCCTTGGCTGTTCACCGCGCTGTCCTGTGCCCAGCAGTACACGTCATACTGTGTCTGTTCTTCGAAAAACACATCCACATCATCTCTGGCCGTCAAAGCGGGATCGACATTCTCCAGCTTTGTCATTTCTATGGAGACGTCAGCACTTGCAAAAACTGCCGACCAACCCGCTGCGATCACACGATTGACGGACATGTCGACTGCTGTCTCTCCTGAGTCCGATCGAGTTGCACGGCAGTATGCGGTGCCTGGCTCGTTCAGAGACAAGACAACGATAATCCGATCGTTGTATGCGGTGGGATCTGGAATAAGCAGCTTGGTGAACGACGGTGGGCTTTCGTCCAGGGTGACAAGTGGCCCAATCTCGTCTTTCAAGGCAACGCTGTCGTTGAGCGACACTTGCAAAGGAGAGCTGGGCGAGACGTAACTGATGGAGTTTGCTGCGGCGTCTGCCTGCGCATGACAGTGTTTAGAAAGATACCTTCATGAGAAGAAAGCATCACGCGAGCCTGGAGCACCCAATCATCTTCTGCAAAGCAGAAGACATTGTAAGGCCTTTGCGGCTGAAGCGCCCGGGTCCCGCCGGCTCTCAGCTGCAGGACGTTGACCTCATTGGTTCGTTCATGTTCGTTCAGTGCACACTGCAACATGAAGGATCGAGGTTACGTGCATGACTCGCGCTTCAGCCTTTCGTGCCAATCAAGAGTGGCGCAGCACAAGTGTTCAATGCTTCCCGGCGCGATGCTGGTTGAAAAGGCTGGCTACCGCATTGTGTGAACTTGGACCCTCCCATTTCAATGAATTAGGTCCTGGCTTTTGCCGCGAAACAACCCCAACCAAGTATTTGCAGGTATCAGTCACAATCTCGACCCTTGCTGCAACTCCTTAAGCTACCAGCCCTAAATGGCTGAGGTGAAAGGTTTCAAGATGCAGGCTCAGTGTAGAAAGCGTGATGGTGCAGGGTGTTTGTCGAGGGACGCGAACGAGGGAAAGGTGCCAGGTACATAAAATTGCAAGGTCTAGGCTGGTTCACTGGTGGAGAGGCTCTCTTCAGACGACATGACGACATGGCACAAGTAAAATCGATGTTTTAGTTCGGTTTACTGCTACTAAATCATCCAAAGTAGCAAGGCCTAGACTTTCATCCGATTGTAAACGTTGACGACGAAATGTTCTCGTGAGCCACACTCCTAACCTGGGTTGGAGCATGTTGGAGCTTACCTCAACTTCTTTGCATTCGCTGTGGACCTCCTTTTGGTTGGTCGTGGCTTCGATATAGACAGCCAAGACTTTGCTTGTATGCTGAGATGTCTACCTCGACCTCCACATTTCGGTAGGCGCTGTCGACGGCAACTTCGAAGCTGGAGGTCGTGTTGCCCTTAATGAAGGACACGAAATAGCCTTGGTAAGCCAAGTTCAGCCTGTTCAGGCAGATGGCTGCGACCAGAACTTCCTAGTTGACTTGGTCCCCCGCAAGGACTGTCAGGGTTTGTTTCGCTTGAAATATCCGCAGCCGTGCACTCTTCCAGCAAATCTGCAGCCTGACCTGAAAAGCGGAAAGCCAAAGAAGCGCCTGCTCACCCATGGTCTCGCTGAGGTACGGGCACCAGACAGTGCCAGGTTCTGACAGCTGGAGGGTCACCTGTCGTGAACTTCACGTTGCCGGCAGACCGTAACACTTAGAGTTCTGGAAAACAAGATATAACAAGTGCTTCTTTCGTGCTGGGTCCTTCTTGAGGCTTCTCTCGCCTGAAGATTTCGCGGCGTTCATGCTATGCTACACCCAACACTCGGTCGCTTCCGTGCACATGCGCCGTTGCAGCTTGCAACGATCTGTCTAACGGCAGATGGGAACGAAAGTGGAACAGGACGTTTCCAAAAACCTGTCTGCACTGGTCGCCTCTGCGAATTTTGTTTTGGTATCGAACCAAGCATATTCAACTCGTTTGGCCGGAGGCGAAATCACGAACTCTGCGCTTTTCCTTCGAATCATCTGCGTGTCTGTGTGTGTGTGTGTTGTGGTTTGGTGTCAGGTCGGTAGCCATCTTGCAGCGTTGAAGGCATTGCATCCTCAGCTTCCCGGACGGAGCGGGTGTTCGAGATCCGTCGTCCTCTTTCATTGACTCCGGCATGGACTTGAGCGGAAGCTATCAAGTTGCCGTCGAGAATTTCACAGCGGCCCCCCACCAAAAATTCAAGGGAAACAGGGCGGAAGAGAAGAGCCGATCAGAGCCTGGCCCGGCTCCGGTAACCCGGGAGCCGTGGCTCGGCCGCACCTGCAGCGTCGGCGTCGACCGCGCGACGGCCTCCGACCGCACGAAGATCATCTTGGGCGGCGTGGAGTCTCGAACCCAGACGCCAGCAGTGAAACCGCCGGCCGGGCTGGAGGCCTCCGCGCGAGAACCCATGCTGAGAGGCCTTTACATTCCGATTCTAAGCTCACGGCATTGTTGACTGCCGTCCCGGCATACTCCTCGCTTGGCCAGAAGCGAACTACCGCGCATACTCAAACAGGGACCCCAACAAGGACCGGTCCTGGCTCATGAGGTTTGGGCGTGGCATGCCCCAACCATCCAAGGCATCGTCTTCTGCCCAACAGTACACGTCGTAGCGCACTGCCTCGTCCAAAGCTGCATTGTCCAGTCGATCCAGACTTCGGTTGGAGATGCTGGTCATCTCGATGGCAGCAACACCTGGACAGGGAGTTTGGTACCACCAGCTTCATCAAATGCGACGTGAAAGGGAGTTGCTACAGTACAGTGAGAAATTTGCCTGATGAGAACGGCGAAGACCAGGCAGCACTGACGATGCGGTTGATGTGCATGTCCAACCATGTTTCACCCGAGTCTGAGCGTGTGGGTCGGCAGTACGCAGTTCCCGGCTCGTTCAATGCGAAAGTAACCACGATTCGATCGTTTCCGGCACTTGGATCCTCGATTTCCAAGAACGTGAAAGTTGGAGCAGCCTGCGCAAGCGGCGGAGCTTCAGACACGGCAGCGTCTAGAAGATTTGACCTTACAGCACCGTCCTGAACCAGCCAAGAACACTGCTGAAACGAGTGCCTCGTCTAAGGTTGCCAGGGGCCCAATCGCATCTCTCAAGGCCAAGCCCTGCGACAGGTCGACTTTGTTCGTCGCGGTGGGCGAGCCGAAGTTCACCGAAACAACCGACGACACCTGAGTGCTGGCAACTCCTCTCGTTTCAACTAAGCTTGAGCGGTTTGCTCTAGCCGATTGAGCTGCCGACGGCCTGGGCCGGCCAATCATCTTCGGCGAAACAGAAGACAGAGTAGAGGTGCTCGTGCATCAAAGGAATGGAGGACTGATCTTTTCGCCAGATCCGTGTGACTTCGATCATTACATCGCGATACGGTTCGGACACCTTGCATCGATTCATCTCTGCAACAAGCTTCCCCGCGAACGCCCCAAAACATGTGCTTCTGCGAAGCCTCTGCGCTAAAGACGGTTTCGTTCTCCAGGCCCTTGACAAAGTCCTAGCACCCGCCAGGCATCAGCGTCACTGCAGCGAAAGACTAAAGAGCATCGCACTCAGCTCCTCATAAAAACAGTCTTCACTCGAATTCGTGGCCTGCTGGTGACAGCTAACAGGGACAGCAACAACCTTATGCCCTGCTGGTTCCGACCTGCACTTCGTCCTCTCTGCAACTCAGGAAATTGGTGGAGTTGGCCTGAATGCTTCGGCCAGAGGCTTTCTCAGCCTGCAACTACGAGTAGGTCGGGGCCGCCACCACCTCTGCCGCCTGACACCTGGCATCTGAGATGCGTAGACAAAACGAAGCAGATGGAAGCAGATCTCTGCCGGAGCACCAAATGGTTCCAGGCTCATCCAACTGCAACGTTATCTGGAGAGTCTCCTTCACGGCGGCGCCGTGGCGCAGTCCGAGTCCGAGTCCCCTCTTAAGACTTCAATAGAGAAGCAGCTCCTGCCCAACAGCTGCAGCACGAACCAATATCCTTGCAGGCAACAACTCATACCTTGCGAGGGGCTAGACTCTACTAGACCCGACCAGTGCTTTCAAAGACGCATCCCAGGCGGCGTAGTATCTGCAACCCAGACTCCTCTACATTCGCGGCAGGGTGCGTGCGCTGTGTCTTGGTGGTAGGAAGGTCAAGCACGACAAGGATTGCAAATGACATGACATGAAGGGACTGCCTCAAGTGCTCATGAACTTGCGGGTACAATAGATGCACCGCTCTCATTCAGAGGTTTCCGCCCTTGCCCTGCTGTTTCAGGCTTCTGGAAATACCTTTGCCACAGTTTCTTCCTCCGCTGTTCTCGGCCATCAGCGAACCCCAGCACCTCCTGTGGGCCGAGTGGTCCTACCACCGGGGTCTCCAGCGCATTCTCACACATTGTGGACCGGAGAAGAAGCGAGCGGTGCTCGATCCGCTGACAGCATTGACATGACAACGCGAAGCACCAAAGCGCGGCGGTCTATGGCTCGAGACACATGGTCGCTCTAGTCCCCTGTTGGTACCGACGACGTAAGAGCGACCCGCCGCGGCCGTTTCCAAAGAAGCCACTCCGCTGCACTTAGGACTGATCGAACGCAGCGCTCATGATGAGCAAGTACTCGGGCGTGCTCAGACAAACAGTTGCTGCAAAACCGCACACGTTAGTCTGTGTGATTACAGATGTGTCTCTTCCTTCCCTTTTGTCCAGCTTTCTCCTACTGGCAGACATGGAAAGTCTCCCGTCCTGGTGACCCATTAGCATGCTGGCAGCTACAAGTGCCAGCAACTCCGAAACCTGCTTGTAAATATGACTGTGACAATTGCCTGAGTGATATGAAACGTGGCTCCTGCGGTGCGGCCTCCTTGTGGGGACAAAGGATCGCCAACATCGGCACTTATGTAGCCGGCGGTCATGATGTTGGGACGAGCAAGCCCCCGATCATCGGTGGCGTCATCCTCCGATTGCAGATGATTGCAGCATGCTTATGCGACAACCGAGGCGTTCATGCACATCCTTGGCCAGGCAGTAGACATCGTACTGAGATGCCTAACACGACGAGCTGGGCTTACGCAAGACCGCCACTCACTGATGGGTGGCCTTGCCTCATCAATGAAGATGTTGTGGTCTTCGCGGTTTGTCAGGGCGGGATCGATATTTTCCAGCTTCGTCATTGTGATGATCGACCTTACACTATCAATTTCCAAGACGCTCTTCTCTGTGACTCTCTGAGGGGTGCGAGGAAAAAACTGAGGATGCACGCGGCACCGTGCTGCCATTATGCGCAGCGGACCAGCCGGCCTCAGCTCACCGATCTCCCAACAGGCACAAATTGGAGATTCCGTGTCTGAAGCATGGAAGCTGTTGCTCTTCGATTAGGCATCCAACACCCAGGATTCGCACGACAGGCCTCAGATCGGACTACAGACAAAAGCAAAAGCTTCGGTCCACGAACCTATTGCAGCTTAAGGCTTGACGTTTCAAAAGGCAAGGGACATGTCAGCAGACGTCTCCCCGGAGTCAGACCGTGTTGCACGGCAGTAAGCGGTTCCCGGCTCATTCAGGGCAAAGGCCACGATGATGCGGTCGTTGTAGGTGGTGGGGTCATCCAATACCAGCTGGGTGAAGTTTGGAGGAGTCTCATCCAAAGTTCTTTTCGTTCCGATGAGCTCTCGCAGGGAATGAACAGCTGTCAGCGATACCTCCGATTGACCGGCAAGAGCGCCCTCTGACCAAGGTTTGAAGTGCAAGCCGGGCCGGCCTTGTTCGGAAGGGTTGGTGCCAAGAAGCTGGGCCTAGGCCGCAGAACATGTGCTCCTTTCATCCATGCCCTGGAGTCTCAGGTCCCAACGAACGGCTTGAGAGCTGCAGGCTGCTTGCCTGCCGCCAACAATCCCAACACACTCCGTTCATGGTCACGCCACCGCAGTAACCAGAAACACCTCTATGGGCCAATCATCCTCCGCGAAGCAGAGCACCTGGAGCAAATCTAAAACGGCGCCGCACGCTTCCTCATCAAGGCTCATTCCAGGGACCTGGTAATCCGTCTGGGAGACCAAGGCGGTGGAAACCTGATTGCTGTTCAGCAATCGGTTCATGACGATGTGGACGTTGCGGTGCGGCGTCGGCGCTGTGATGCTGAAAACCTAAGAAGCCAACAACTCCGGGTCTGTGTGCGACCACCGCTCTCCAAGCTCTTTAAGGGTGCTGCGGACTGTCCGGAACCCTTGATGTAGCTTTCATAGTAGCAGGGCTCGGTGTCGTTGACGTCCTGGCTATCGCCGCGAGAGATCGAAAACCCAAGATGCACATCCGTTGAAACGCCTGCAGACTGCTGTTATCGCAGATCGATGCATCGGGGCCCTGCAAGCTCATGGCCTGACCTCGGGACAGCATCACTAGCTCGCACCGAGATCAGTAGATGGGCATCCCTACACCAGATCGTGCCAGGCTCGTCCAACTGGAGTGTTACCTGAATGCAGAACCGATCTTAGCTGAAGCACAGATCCCAACAGGGCAGAGAGCTGGCCTGGATGGTGTTCGAGTCCAGGCTCTCCGAATCAATCAGAGTGATGGTCGGTGGCGTAGAGTCTTTCACCCAGATATTTGCGACGCGACCACCAGCGGGAGAGCCTTGCCACTTGGGCTTTGGATTGTCCGCTCTTCGATGCCGAAGGTGTGCACACGAGTCAACTGAGACTCTCACCGGCACTGACAGCATCTGCACTCACATATTCCTGCAAAGCCATCTGTCATCATGACAGCAGGCCTACAACAGCAGGCTGACTTCACTTGCGTCCTGCGTCATGTAATTCGCTCTTGGGAATCCTTTTGTGTCCACGGCTGCATCCCGCGCCCAGCAGTACACATCGTAAAGGGTGGCCTGCTCACGAAGCTAATGCATTCGACCTTGGCACAAGCAAGGCATACCGGTCGCTTAGGATGGCCTCCAAGAAGAACACATCTTCATCGTCACGGCTGGTAAGCAGGGGATCCACGTTCTCTAGCTTTGTCATTGTAATTGTCCTCAAGCAGAAGAAACTGTCAATGCACAAGTCGGTCGTCACAGTGGCATGTGTTCGATGTCTGTTCTTCCACTCTCACTTGTCTGGGGCTCCCCGCCGTGTACCATTTCCATCATATGCAGAAGACCAGCTAGCAGACAGAATTCGGTTCAGGTGCCTTTGCTTGTAACTCACAGGCTGCATTCACCGCTCCCAAAACCAGCATGCTGTGCACATCTAAGAAAGCCCAAGGCTCATGTCGGCGGCTGTCTCACCAGAGTCTGAACGCGTCGCGCGGCAGTATGCAGTTCCAGGCTCGTTCAACTCGAAAGATATAGAGATTCGATCGTTGGAGGAGGTAGGATCCTGCAAGCTTTGCCGAGTTCCGGACAGATGCACAGAGATTTATGTTTACCTGCCCATGCTAGGACCATCTTTTCATGTCCTGGATCTCGAGTGCAGTGAACGTCGGCGGTGTTTCATCCAGTGTAACAATGCTTCCGAGCTGATTTCGGATGAACTCCACCTGACTTGCCTGAACACCTGTATTGAAGACCATCTTGTTCGCTGCGGAGCCTGTACCTCGCTCCATGTCAGCTCCGCAAGCTTTCACCGCGCTTGAAACAGGACAAACAAGCTTCTGCTCCGTAAGTCTGGCACCATCATCTTCATCGTCCTCCGCATAACAGTAGATGTAGTCGTACCGAGTGGCCTGAATGCTGGGCATGTTCATGTGAAGTGACACCAACGCACTGACACCCCAAGTCTCCGACTTCCTCCAGGTTCAAGAGCAGTATCGACACATCTTGCTGGTATGTCCATGGGCTGGCATCAAAATCCGCTGGAGTGGAGACCCCGTCTGCTGAAGAATCCTCGATGTCGTCCAGGTCATAAACCCAGAAAGTACCACACTCGTTTCCCAAAGTGTCCTAAGAGCGGGACGGAGAGCAGTGGCGGCTATCGCTTTCACCAAAAGCCAACTTCGGAGAAGCCGCTCTCGCAGCTCGAGCTGAGAGCCCGGCCGTGCAGTTGGCCGACTCAGCCTTGATCAAGTTCTCGAAATCAAGGGACATGTTCAGAGGCCTCCAGAGAAGGGCGCAAACGTAAATGTGTCAGGAGGTCGTGACCGGGGAGGGGTCTCAGAGCGGAGAGAGAGCGACGGACGGAGCCGGGCGAGAGTGACAGTGAGAGAGAGAGGCTGCACGTCTGGCGCACCCTGGCAGGCTAACTGGCCAGTCGCATGTACTCGGCGAATTCCTTAAGAGATTCAACACACAAGTAGCAAATTTGGAAGTGGTTGAGTCATGGGATGGCGTTGACTGGATGGGTTAATCAGTGAAACGGTGAGTGCGTGCGATGCCGGCGGGCATCTGCATGTGCCCTGCTGGTACATGTGGGCCGGATCGAAAAAAGCAAAGGCAGTGGCACCCGCAAACTGTCAAGACACTCGAACCTCAAATGGAGGTTACTTCAAGAGTGAGTTGTCTGCTGCTTGAATCCTCTGACGCAACGATGGAGCTTTGTTAATGCAACGCCAGCTGGGTGCTCGGCTCTGACTCCCACGTCGCACACCATATCTTACCTCCTTCGTCCAGGCGCACGATGAGGTGGAGCGTATCTTTGGCAACAGCCTGCCGGCGTCGCGATCGAGGTCAACATGCAGATCCTGCTACAATAAGAACATACTGCGGCGACATGACGATCCTCAGCGTCAACGATGCTCATCTGGGGAGGCGTGGTGTCCAGCCTTGAGAGCCACGGCCCTGACATTGCCCTTCAACATGTTGCTTTGGGCCGGTTTCGGGTTGGGGTTTTTTGAGCTTCGCACGTTCGGACAACGCCCGGCAAAGCATCAGGTCCACACTGGACAGGGTCGGTTTGGCCGTTGCCTGGAAACCAACACTTGAAGGATCACGTGCCCCAGCTCTCTCACTGGTCCTTCGTCGTCTTGTGCCCAGCCTTACGAAACCAATGTTCAGAAAGGACAAGGCTGTTAGTCTTGCGGGCTTTAAGCAGCAAGCAGAACACATTGTAGTCAGTGCCCCGTTGAAGTGGGACCCGTCCGCTTGGCCCATAGTCCGCAGACACCATGTCAACCAGCATACTCGCCACAAAAGGCCTGCACTTGGGCTGTCTAGTGCTTGCTTTGTCGGCGAAGTTTGGCACAGTGTCTGCTCAGATCGGAGCTCGTACGCAAACGTGATTGAGCTGAATCCTCACGCGCAACACTGCATCACAGCAGCTGCTATGCTGATGCTCATGTGATTCTCTGCTACGACATGCCTTGAGACTGCTAGTTGGCCTGCACCTTTCTGCACGATTGCTGTGCTTGTGCGATGTCGTCGTGCTTTGCGAAACCCTCAACATTCAGAAATCGGGTGGGTTTTGAAGCTGGGGAAGCGCATGTTGAGTTTGCAACTGCCTGTTACCCCAGGCAGGAACGATGCTGCAGCGTCTACTGGTTTCTCCGTCGGTGCATGTTGCGATCACCTCTTTCCAGGGTGAGAGCCGTGATATCCGATGATTCATGTCATATGCTTTTGAAAACTATCGTGCCTATGGCAACGATGATTCCTGGTGAAGCTCTTGAGCATCAATTCATGACACACCTATTGTGGCGATTCTGAGTCTTCGGGTGTGACCGGAGTGCTTCTGTGTAGCAGCACTGCTGTTGTGTTTCTGCTCGCAACGAGCGTTCCAGCTACCATGATGCTGAAAATCATGATGATGATCAGATTGACGAGTTGCTGATGATGATGGATGATCATGACCATCATCACCACCATGGTTACTAGTATTTCTATTATAATTACTGTTATTATTTCTTTTATTGCTTTTTAGGAGTATTATTCTTATTCGTATACAGTTCAGGCTTTTCGCAACCACTCAGCGCTCTTAGGTGTTGGGGAACCAGCCACTCCTCCCTTTTGTTAACCCCTACATGCTGCGACAATAACCCTAAACCCTAAACCCTACTCGTAGTAATGGAACTGATGGCACGGGCGGACACTATGCAAGAGTGGATGCTGCAGAACCCCCAAGACCCAAACACAGTGACTCCTTGCCAGAACCCCCAAAGGAAAATGTAAAAAGGGGTGACAAGCTTCCAGAAACACAAACCCTGAACTGGTTCCGAAAACTCGAAAACCGAAAAAGAAGTGAGTGCCAACGGAAAGCACAACTCTAAACGGCGCGACTGTTTGACGAAAAAATGTGACAGCCCAACACACTCAAAGGACTGGGTTAGCTTTTTCGGGTTTTGGCCGCGAGTCACTCGTTTGGGGTTTTCGGGAGTCTGCAGCAAGCATTCGCTCTTCTGGGGTATTGGGCTTGACGACTTGTTTTTGTGAAACCGTCATTTGCTCCTTTAGCGCTGTGGTCCTTGTGGTTTGTTGGGATTCTACAGGGCCGAAAAAAGGTGTTCTGCGCAATCCTACGACCCTGAAAGGCGCGACTGGCTCCCCAAATGCAAAAGCCCTAGATTCCTAGATGGAGCCAACCCTAAACAGAGTGGCTTGCTGGCAAAACTCAGAATCTATGTAAGTCAGAATTGGCAGCAACCCAAAAGCAGCAGCGATGTTGCAAAATGCCAAAACTAAAAGGAGTGACTTTCCCAGTCTCAACGATCGAAATTGAGTGGTTACGAGAAGTTTGCAAACCTAAACAACAGGGGTGACTGACTCGAAAAAACACAAGGTCCTTCTTGGTTAGCATGGGCGGCAAGCCCAAGACAGCTCTTTCACCAAAACAAGGAGTGACTCGCTGGCAAAAACCTAAAAATATCAAAGGGGTGAGTGGTTGCGAAAAGAGCCTAAACCCTAAAAGGCCTGATTGGTTGGAGTCGTCGCGGGATCGTCTACAGTCTGTAAGATTCATGGGGCTGCAGATCCGTCCTGCCGCCACCATGAAACGGCTGGGTCGTGGAAGACCCGCGCGGACAGCGACACAGAAGGCCGTGCCAAGCTCGTCCAGCGTTAGGCTCACATCGATGGCATCTTCTCGTCCTGAAGCTGCCTGCGCAGTGCAGTTGGAGCCGGCAACACAAGAGAAGATAACAGCACCAGCCTGGGCAGTGCAATTGAAGGAGAGCGGCGCTGTCGTGTCAAGCGTGCGGACCCGCTGTCGGGTTGCCACTGCAGCACCCATGGTTACCACGTTAACGATAGGCTGCTCCGTGTCCTTTTCAGGTTCAGCGCTGTGGGGTCTCTGGACTTGGAATGCTGCAGCTCCTGCGCGTAGCAATACACGTTGTAGAAGGTCTTTGTTGCCAGGTCAGCAACCTCAGATTAGAGCTGTTGCTGTCTCCAGCCAGGGAGAACATGCCATCCCGTTAAGTCGAGAAAGATGCTCAATCGCTCTGAGCCCGGAACATCGACTTCCATTTCAGCATAGCCAAAGATTGAGCTAAAGTCAGCCTCGGACGGTGGCAAATGCATGCAGTGACTGAGCTGCAGAGCTTCAGGAAGCCTGGGGCAGAGACAGAGGCAGAGAACGTTGACCCAATCTCCGAGAGTGTCACTGCCAGCTTTTGCCCACTGGGTCCATCCTCAGCAGACTCAAACAGAGCAAACGGTATCGAGCAAAAAGCAAGAACGCTTTGGGGAGACCTGAGAGGTGCAGACAAGTCACTGGAAAGGCCTGGCAAAAGGATGTGCCACTTTCATCAAGACCTCAGCACCAGGTGCGCTGATTGGTTCACAACTGAACATTTTCACGACAGGTGCCCTGCGGATCGTGACGCGAATGATGTTCTCCGAAATGCCATCGGCTGATACCACCGTCATGACTGAGACAAGCGGCTTTGCCCAATGCTTAGAGACCCTTGGACCTTTAGCCACTGGACTTCGAAGACTGGCCTGGTGGCGTGACGTCCGCTGCTCGTGTGCGAACCTACTGCTTCAGCTCAGCGACTGCACCGGACAGCTCAGCAGGATCTGGGCTCAGGGCACGGTATGTTTCGCCGTTCGAGCCAGCGGGCTGGAGAGGCTCCAACAGATCTCGCTGTGCCTCTCTCGTCAGAGGCTTACATTCGCTGCGAAGCTCTGGTCGCAAGCTGGGCATCACACCAACAGCGTTGTTGGCGTGGCACGACGCAGGACCCCGGAAGCCATGGTGATGTCCCAGATCTAACGCACAGAAGTCTCCACACATCGTGATCACAACCGATGACTGGCCTGGCCCTTGCAATCGTCCAATGTCGCGGCATTGATGGGACACAGATTGGAGCGTGCAACTTCGGACGCCAATAGTGGGTCCTGAAACAAAACATCGCCGGGACAAGACACCCGTGCACACAATTCCAGGCAAAACCCGGGGGTGTGACATTCGGAGAAATCGTGATTGACGTATTCAGCATATCAAAGGACACCTTTGCCAAAGGAAGACAAGCAGGCATTTGTCTTGTAAAGCTGTAATGAAGAAAGCCCTGCTTGCCTGTAGTTCATCTTGAACGGGGATGGATCGGTACTGCGAGGTGCGGCCCACTGGAGTCAGCACCAGGTTCCCTGAACCAGGCTCAATGGCCTGCGGAGATGCAGCACGAGAGAGAGAGAGGCGCAGAGCCATGCTGGCAATGGCGATGGCCTCGCTGAAGTTGATCACAATGCGACCATCCAAAGCGAAGTCGTCAGCGTTGTTGGCAGGACTGAACCCCGTGATGCACGATGTTTCGAAGACGTATGCACCTGTGAGCCAACATGAACCAAAGATGACTGCAAGCTGGAACGATGAAGAAAGGGCTTGAGCCTCCTGACAGCGCTGCCACTTCGTTTTGGGAGGCTGACAGGTCGCGGAAACAGCCGGAGCTGTATGTAACCTGGGCTGGCTGTCCAGATCACGGGCTTCGCAACTTGCTGAAGACTGCAACTGCCACGAGGTTCCTTCACAATCGCATGACTGTACTCTGCAACGGCCCCTTGTTTATTCGCAATGCCAAGACTGTGCAAAGACGTGCATGGTTGGACACGCTGAACTTTTACAACCTCAGCTAGACTGTGGCTCCACACTAAGACTTCCACGACTTGCCTCGACAGCTTCAACCCGATATGATGCGATGAATGTTGTGGCACGTTGTTTCCCTATGCTTGCTGCATCAGGCATGAGAGGCCCGAGGTGCTGTAGGTGGGCATGGCACTTCCTAAAACCAACGGGCTTCGCGAGGCAATTCAGTGAACAGTCCCAATGGCCGAGCACCACTGTATGGCTGGTCTTTGTGGAAACTACCCTTGATGAAAGCAGATGAGACTGACCACGCTGTGCGAGGTAATTCAAATGTGAAGACGAGAAATAGTTCCCAGCAGTTTCGCTTTCGGCGAGTTCTGTGTCCTGCTGACGACCCTCTATTTCCGGCGCAACGAGCCTCCCGTCATGCCACTTGTTGCAAGCATCAGCGGTTGGGAACCGCTGTCGAGGCGGCTTCAGCTCGTCGTCTAGCAAGTTCCTCCAAGCAGACCCACTTTCAAAACCAATGGCCAGGCTTGTCCCTTTTCCATTCCGAGCTCGGTCCGCATTTCTTCATACAGCTGCGAGTGTGCTTCATCGCTTTTCTTCGCCACTGAGCTTGCATTGCCTTCCGACAAGAATTCGATGGTGGCACAAAGGGCTCTCTGAGCGCTTGCAAAGCTTTCCCTGCTTTGTGGTCGTTGGCGGCCGGGGGCCCTTTCAAAGGAGCCTCGGCTTTTTCTCCCTTTGCACCCTGGGAAGGAGCCTCGGCCTCTGGCTCTGGCAATTTCGGAAACGGTGACTCTGGATGTCCGGAGCTCCGCCACTACCGATCAGTGATGTTGATGGTCATCCCCATCCCATCAATCCTACCCGCCACCCCGCCACAATGCTTAAACCCGCTAAAACCCCCCCCCCCCCCCCCNNAAACCCCCCCCCCCCCCAGACCGGGGAGGTGAGAGTATCACTATCCACCCATCCGTCCTCCCCTGTGAGATGCGCGATGCCACCTGTCAATGTGAGCCGTTATGTAGAGATGCGCGCGCTTCTTCCCAGAAGCGAAGTCGTTTTTGCTGGCTTCGTTGGAAGTACGAACTCGCTCGTTTATAGGCATCTGGCACTAGGACCAGAAACGCATTGTTTCAGCGTGGAAGCTCGTCTGAGCACGAACCAGCAAGAACCAATTCTTGGAACCGCCAGGCTGCTTCATACCGTTGGCAGTGATCGCTGAAAGCTCCTGGGTCCACGATGGCACTGTCGTACTCAAGAACCTTTGCATCAGGATGCGCATTGCGGAGCAGACATCGGACCCGGGATGAGGCTCATGCAACTGAGTTCGACTTGCATGGCAGACTGGTGCTGGCACCAGTATACAGGTTTTGGATAGTGACCACCTGCCACAGCCCCAGCTTTCAGTGTCACGGACGTTCGGATGCCCGTGCTGCCTTTGCCGCATCGGGGGACGCTTCTACACCCTCCGAGAAAGTCAAGTTGATGCTGTCGTCAGGGTCAGCACCTTGGAAAAGAACGTGCCGAGTGAGTGGCAAAAGCTTCCACAAGTGACATGAACACCTGGACATCGGTCAGCAGAATGACAAGCATGTTCAAGATATTGGCCGCTTCAACCATGTTGACGCGACAAGCTTCATATTATGCAGCTGTGTCATGCTTGCCCGGCAACATGACAGGTATCTTCTGGAGAGTCGGCAATCTCTCGGGCTGCGGCTTGGCTCTCCATTGGAAGGAAGAACGGATACCAGGCTGGGTGGAGTAAAGTCACCCGTGGCGAAAGTATACTGGAAGAAAGCATTTGGAAGACCGCTGCCAACACTTTGCCTCAGCATATTGCCGTTTTATAAACGTGACATCCTTCATCTGGCAAAGGCCCCGACACCGTCCCAGCATCAATTGTCAGGTAGTAGCCGACAAACTCTGTCAGGAAAGTAGTGTCCAAGTTCCCCTCGTTCAGCACCAACTGGCTGGAATCATTCGCATCGATGACCTTAAAACGTCTCAAGGGAAGGGCTTCGGCTGTTGGATTGCACAAAGGCAACTGCCCCTCGTTATTTTAATTCCCAGCAAGGCACAGCCCCGCTGCCCAGACCGAAAGATGTTGAGTTGACGCCATCAAAAAGCGTCACCTGCAGCCGCAGTCGGCGTGCCCTTGTTTCATAGTGCCCGCATCCGCTGAGGCTGGGAGACATGCTGAAGAAAAGAAGGAGATTAGCTTCTGAGCATGCCTGGCCGGAGGGCTGGAGCACCACGTCTTCGTCAAAAGTGATTCGCACCTTCCACCGACACAGGGAGACAGGCACACCCTCACGCTCTCGCACGCGGACCTGGCCACACCCAGACGAGAAGACACTTGCACCAAAACACTCTACCCACGCCACCGCCTTCCCTCCTTCTCTACGACGCACCAATCCGAGCAGGTCCCTAAGATCGTGTTACGACGGAGTGTATGCGTGTAAGCTTTTCGGTGTCGTTCCTATGCCCAGCGAGGGTAGCGCTATGTGCAGACGGTGCCGTGTGCGGAACGGAATCTTCGCAATGCAGCGATTGCTTCCCCCTGTTCCTGACATCGCAGTTTGAGATTGTGGCGAACCAGGTATGCGTGAACAGTACATTTCAATACCTGGACATGTGACATGGCTGATCTGCGATCGCCGGTGCTGTCCGTACAAGATCACATGCTGCTGCGCCACAAAACGATTTGCTTAAGACTTCGAACATGTGTCTTCAGTGAGTGCATATATATTGCACGCACGCTGGGAGGCACATGTAGACATAGTGACGAACGTGTCTCTGCTCAAGCACATATAGGATGCCCAAGCTGTATTCACAAACTCGGAGACACTGAAGCATGGTGTATGTATATAGGTATATAAGTTAAACATGTGTACGTATACGACATGTACTGATATGTAGAAAGATGTTAACATCTATAACGTGATAGAATATAATAGTACTATGACGCAATACGTACACTGAAACATAATGAAAACAAAGTTCAAGTATGATATACAATCTATAACATACATCATATGATACACAATATGCAAGAAACGAAATACCATAAGGAATTTAGAAAATGGAATGTAGAATCGAGAACATAATAAACAGTGTAATGTATAACTGTCTAACGCACAACACATCATTTTTCGCATAGTATATCTCATGATTGCTATCCGTTATCTGATATATCGCATCTGGTATGTAGTAGACATTATGCTGCGTATAATGTACAGTATGCAATGTACAATACACGATGTACAACAAATAAAAAGTCTTGAAATATCTCTACATACAAATATCATAGTCGAATTAACTCTTAAATGAATGATGTATTATGCTCTTAGCTAGTCCCTGTATCGGCCAAACTATCATTAACCGTGGCGACACAGACGTAGACCTACTGCCGTCCAACAGGTCCAAGTGTCAAAAAAAATGTAAGCTGTAAAACCATCTGTGACTTGTGTAGATCTCCAAGACGCAAGGAGAACAAAGAAGGGAGTAACCAAGGTTCATTGGAAGGGTGAGCATGCATAGCCAGCCCCCATTTTACCCCTGGTGAACCTCTCGATTGAAACAACTATGGAACACATGCATCTCGTCACCTGTCTAGGTCACCCAGGCCTCTGAATCGAGACGGACGTCTTCGGCTGAGATGTTAGCAGGCAGACTGAGAAGTACAGGTGAAGCTCCTTGTTGAAAAGTCAAAGAGACCACTTGAGGGGTTGCTGCCCCCGTTTGCAGGAAAAGAAACGTGAAACAATAGCCAAGCCAGCTGGCCAACCGGGCACGGGTCCGAGGCACCCGTGCCCGGCTTGGTGAAAGATGGCCTCTGCCCCAGCGCCAAGCCCAACATCGGGCAAGAACCTCGGTCATCCCCTTCTTCGCGTGTTCATCTGGCTCCAAGTGGGGTGTTAAAGCACCGGGGCCGCCAGCACCCAGAATAAACATTGGCTCCGCTGACGAACTCCGCGAGCGTGAACGTGCTTCGGGCTCGACTGAAGACGGCAAGGGCCGAGGAAAAGAGCTGCCTCCCTTGCACCCTTCATGTTCTGCTTCACGCTCTTCGCATCTTGGCGACAGTCGACCGCCATCTCTTCTATTCACAAGTTGACACATGGCCTAATTTTGAGCAGAAATGTCATTGAAGCTTTGGACGTGCTCAAGAACTTGCCGGAGAGTGTGCTAGAGCTGCTGTTGCTCAAAAACTGAGTACAGCAGCAAGCGCCATTTTCAGCCGGGAACGTGCTCTCAGTGGCCAATGCCATCAGAACGACGGCCCTTGCGACGGAACGGTAGGCGACCCCCGCCTCTGCAGTGCTGAAACAAGGCGCAAAGCTAGTGCTAGGAAGCCGCCTAATCCGTGACAGGCCTGTGGTGTTTTCTGGAAGTGCATCCGTGGCATTGCCAGCAGTCATATCCAGGGACGACCATGACACATTGACGCGACCCCGAGGGCCAGCAGCGCGGGTCTCGTTCGTCGAACTTTGACCCGGCAGCTGGATTGGCCTCGGGGTGCTCCTCATCGTCTCCTTCGAGCTTTAAAAGAGAGGAAGCAGACTGGACGGAACAAGCCGAACATGCTTCCATCTCCACCTTCGCCGGCATTTCCGCAGACGCAACATCTGGCCACAGCTCTGGAGGGCTCCAGATTGTCAGCAGCCCGGCCCAAATCACCAGGCTTACCAGGATCACTGCCATGGTACCTCGAGGCGAACTCCACGCGACAGGAACTCGCATCACTCAAGATTCGCGTTTCCCAGCCTCGCCAAGACCTCCCTTTCACGCGGCGTCGCGTCGACGATCCAGGGGCTTCCAGGTCACTCTGTGAGGGTGCAGACTCCCGAGAGGTGGGCGGAGCCTTCGGACACAACAGGACAGCCACAATGCCTTCCTTCACCTGACTGTCCCGCACGTCTTCAACCTAAGCTACAGCTACAGCCCTTCTGCGAGCGGTTCCAGCTGGGTGTGGGCCCGCTCTCTCCCCACGCTTGAAGTTTACGCTTGGGCTCCTTCTCCCCACCTTTGTGTCTTGATTTCTTACTTCCTAACCCCAGCTTTGCTAGCTGCGCTTTGTTGCAGCCGCAAAGGCCGGAGCGTCTTGGGGTTTACAAATTGGCCAACGAAAACTTTATGCACCGTTCGCGGCTCCGCCGATTCGGGCTAGGAGGCTCCCTTTCAGAACAAGTAGGGAACCAAAGAAAGCCTTGGACCACTGCGAGATCCACGCGCAACAGGCAGGCCCCACAAGAACATCAGTGTGCAACACACCTACAAGAATGTCACGGACTGCTCAAATCGCCGGTCTAAACCTCCCAGCCCAGACAAAGGCTTGAAACTGTATGCTTGTGCTGGGTAGCAGCCTCCTGTTTCGCTGCCCTTCGAATTCCAGTTCACCCACGAACCAAAGAGCCATCTGTGACTGTGACGCTGCCTGAAACTTCTTGACTTCGATCTGCTGTTCAGGTCCCTCGATGGCCGGCTTGCTCAGCATGTAAACTTCTGCTGGGGGCGCAACCACATACACCCCTGTCAGGTTTCCTTTCTGAACTGCGTGATCTTCATTGGTTTGTCGATGAACCTAACCTTGTCAAGCCTTCGTGGTTGGTTTTGACTCTTTTCGGAATCCAACCTCTGATGCTGTGATACAAGGGCGACAACGAGGTAGCCCTCCCCATCCAAACAAGAACGAAGACTTCACAACATGCAAGCCAAAAGGATTCGCAGAGCTGCGGGTGTGCCTGCGCAGCCGCTCGCATCTGACAGCCCGCTTGGCTTTCAGAGCCTTCACTCCTTGGAAGTACAGCGGCACCGTGACAGGCGCGCAGGTCAGCGAGAAAGCTCCCATCCTCTCAGCTCGACCCGTCGGGCGAGATGAACGGGCCTGCCGCGCGCCAGAGAGGGGAGCCTTTTCTCAAGGAGGCTCTCAGCTCCTTGAAGGCCGCCGCTTGGGCTTCCACGTCGGGAGCATCCTGCAGGGCCTCCAGCAAAGCGTCCTCGCAGGGGCCCGGCACGCACGCGTCTCTGACGACGCGCCCCGCGCGCCTCCTCGAAAAACTTCTCGAGAGCCGCATCGGCATCGTCGTCCATGGCATGGACCCAGGAGGTTACATCACCATCGTGGGGATGAAGATACAAGTCGACTCCGCGGCTCTGATGCTGGTTTCCCTGTTTATTCCTGGCCTGCGCCGCTGCACTAAAGCTTACGTAAGCAGCTTAAGCATAACAGGCAAAGAGTCAACCTGCAGAGCAAATATAAGCCAACTGAACTCCATGCCTTTGTCCTGTCACCCACCTCACTCTATTTGGCAGCTGAGCCAGAAGGAAGTGACGACGAGATGGACAAATGCCCAAGCCCTCACTTATGGCATCAGCCGCCGGAAGGCACGGAAGCTCTGCCATTGCTGTTCACGGACTGCGACTCGACGCTGATCAGCTTCGCATTACAACGAAAGCCCTGATTCAAAGGGGCTTAAGTTTAGGGCTTACATACCAACTGAACACAAAAAACACTCGGCTCGCAGCTGGAGCTGAGGTCTTTCTGGGCTATGTACAGGGGCATCTGGAACAAAAACCAGATGCCTTTAAACGTTAAACTCAGGCGGTTTACTTCTCTTGTGTGCGGTTTCTTGGCAGCATCTTTGTGCCGCCAGGGGGAGACTTTGTACACAACATCTTGTCACTTCTGCACCTCCTCCTCGCTGGACTCCACACCACTTCCGGCATCCGTGGAGAAGCCAGCCTTCGTCAGACTTCCACAGACTCGCACACACATGACAGGACAAAGCCTCACGGGTGCACATGACACTTGGCTTCCTCATGAATACCAACGCTTGTGGCGAAAGCGCTTTCTGGCGGCGAAGCTGCATTGGGACCGAACCACCTCATAGGAATTTCCCAGCACAGTGGCTTGCTTTGCCCCCACCCTGGAAGAAATAAGGTCCTGGCTTGCTGAAGCCGCGTGAATCGTGTTGGGAACTTGATGGCAGGGACTCCTGAGGATGTGCTGCCATTCACTGACAGGGCTCTAGACTCTAGATGCACTCGCTGCCTCGACTCGGGGCGTTGCGCCAGCAGGCGTCGCAGGGACCTCCAAAATTAGAGTAAAAAAGCACGAGTCGTGGTTCGGTGAGCCTGGGGACCCCCGGCCTGGCTTCCGGCTTTGTTTTGGCCCTGGTCTGCGAGTGATGACATGCTTTTCATATTCATGAAGGTGTCTGGAAAGGATTCGGATGTTGGATGGCTGTGGCGTGTTGGAGGCAGGCAATCTGCGCCTGACCTTTGACAACAACCACAAAAACCATCAAACACCGGTGCCCTCCAGAGCCGTCGAGGCCCCCAGTCCATAGCGCAATCTGTTTGTTGAGGGATCGTTCCACTGGTACAGCAAAGCTTAACACAAGCCGCCAGGACCCAGCATGGTTTGAAATGACGTGTATCTTTCGTGGAAGAGGAACTTGAAGACTGATGAACAACCCTCAGACGGCCTGTGCTGGCAACACCATCGTCGTTGACGGCATTCCAGGACATGTCTCCTGCACTGCTCACGGATCGGTCCTCACCATGCTGCAAAGCACAGCGCTTTGCACATCCTGCCTCTGAGGGTCGGGGCCGCATTTCAAGGAGCTCCCGCCGCGAGTGCAACTCACGCCCGCTCAGGCCCGCATTCTGCAGGGACTCTGGCACTGGGATCGAGGTGAGAGTAGCGGATGTGGGTCGAAAGGAGTCTGAGTGGGCGCTCGGGTGGACCTCCCACGTGGTCTGGCACGGCGGGAAGCCAGAGTCAGTCGCGTTCTCGTAGCTGGGTCTTGGGCCGGGCATCGAAGTCGCAGGCCATGACCTCGCCTCAGTCAAGCTGATGTCAGGAGGGGGAACATCCAAACTCAATCCTGTTCGTGCTTGCAGCCAGCTTCAACAGGTGACACGTGGTGTTGGTCCACAGCTCATGGCGGAAGCGCGTGCACGCGGCTGCACGTCTCAAGGTTGACCATTTTCAGGCGTCTTGAATCGTTTTACCCCGCACGATGCGCTGCTCGAGCACCCGATCCTAGAAGCCCAGAAGGCATGTTTGTGCGAAAAGCTGAGTGGCGCACGTCCTGCATTACGCTTGTCTTTGAAGCCTCTGCAAACAGCTTCGTTCTGTTCGCAATGTCTGCCTTCCGGGAGCACATATCTTACGTGACCACCAGCAGCACCAACAGCATGTCCAAGGCATGTGCCAATGTAAACTCTGGCTGTGCCTGTCAGCTAGGCCGCTAGGCTTTCGGCCTTTGCTGGAGAATTGAAATCCAAGCCTCGTCAAAGTCAAAAGCCGCGTAGTCCCGGCAGAAAGGCTCTGGAGGTCGTTGCGGCTCGTAACCTATGCCGCGGAATGTGCCCGTGCAGCACAGCGCGATGTCGCAACGAGCACAATCCCGAGCCCAGGTGCTTGGCCTCCACTGTGCCGCTCTGAGCCGAAGGCCCATGGCCGCGTCGCAACCTGTCAGACTCTCTGCTTATTCCTAACTCGGCTCCTTCTCTTTACTCCAAGACATCTTGGTTTCTTTCTGCTGATCTCGGCATCCTGGTGACGCGGGAGCACGGGCAGGCGTAGCTGTGCGTGCAGCAGTTGCATATCAGGGATCCTGCTACGGTGGCTTCTGTTACACCGAATGCTCCTGGCGACGCCCTGCAAAAGAGTCTTGCGCTCTGAGCCCGGGATTCTCGGATTCCTGCGAGTCTCCTGTTGTTTCATGGTCCGAGCCGTCAAAACTGAGCTTCACTTTGCCGGCTTAGCCGTTAGCGTTCGCGAGACCAGGTCCGGGGGAAGCTTAAGAGACCTCCCGTATACGACAGAGAGGCTCGCCATGTCCCCAGGCTTGCTGCATGTTGCATCAGGCAAATTGGGCTCGTGCTCTCTTTGCCTCTTCTCGCTCTGCATGTCGGAAGAATGGACATCTGGCCTCGTTCCACGACGGATCTTCCCATTCTGTCCAGCCCTGCCAATCCTGCCAGCCCTGCCAGCCCTGCCAGCTCCAGTTCGAGTCGTACTCCTCGTAGCCCTGGTCGTGTCCCTGAGCAGACGGACCAGGAGCAGCCCGCGCAGCTGCAGCCGTGCCGTCGAAGTCATTTCCCTGAGCAGTCTGAATCTGCGGGCAAGCTGGCCATCGCCCTGCCGCTTCACCTATCTCGTCTGTGCACCTTGAGCATCCGAAGTAGCTCAGCACCAGCGCTGGCACCGGATGATGCCTGGAGCTCTAAATTATGCATCTCGCAAAATACTGTGCCTTGTGTCGCCAGCCTCAGCAACTCTCCTTTGTCGGCCATCTGAAGCACAAACAGATGCGAAGCTTGTGAGCTCGGGCCTGCATCACCGCACATGCACTGGGCTTCATTTCATTGTGGCGGATCCCTTGCGCCTTGACGCTGTGGCCAAGGAAGGCGAGGATCCTCCGGCGCTGATCGGCATCTTGGCTCCAGACTCCGCCCGGCCTTGCCAAGGGCCCTTGCTGGCCTCGGCCGGGGACCCAGATCCCGAGAGCGACGAGCACCCGTCTCTTGCCGTGCCTGCATCATGTCTCTGCTTGCGTATCCTGGCCAGACCGGTCAACGCCACTTCAGTCAGTTCTGACCAGTGGACTTTCGGCTTTCAGGAGCTACCAAAGCGAAGCCTTACGCCTTACGCGACACGAAGGAAACCAGAACCAAGAGTTCGATGAGTAAGGATGCCTGTTGCACTCTTCAAAGAGGAGAGAGATTTAGTAGTCAGAGGCTTAAATGAAGCCGCCAAGCCATACGGTAGCCATACGTCTGACTCACTCGAGCTCCCTCTGAAATAACAGTCAGTCATGCCGACCAAGAAGTTCTCGCTCACGCAGCTACAGCTACCGCCATGTCAGCTTTCGCTACAAGCATCACCGGAAAGGGACGTCCTCGCCCTCTCCGCTGTGTCTGCGCCTAGCAGCACAACCATGCACGAGGGAGGGCAGAGAAAATCAAGAGGACATGCTTGGGCCATCAAGTGCCTGAGAGCTCGCCATCTTCGCACCAAGATGGCTTCGCTTGTTGGCAAGTGTGCAATTAACGGCTGAGTTCTGCTGTTTTTGCTGCTAACCGCTGTTAACCTCTTGTTGAGGGACGAGTACAGAGGACTTGAAGAGCAAGAAAGGTACTGCATCATGCTCGGGCGCGAAATCCTCGACGACCAGCACCGCTTCTACTGCGAGGCTCGAAAGACGTCTGCTGACTCCTGAAGTGTTTGACATGCGCACGAGCAATCGCGGTTTGGATGCTCTCGGTGAAACCTCCGATGCACCTGCACCACTACACGATAGTACATTGCAAAACACACTTGAGACATCTTCGGGTTCATGTGTAGTTCTGCATGTGCTGACAGTGACTATGCCTCCTGCCGCAGCAGCGGGAGCGAGGGAGGCAGCCCTACAGACGAGACATTGGGGCCCTGCGAGTTAGAGTTCGCACGCCTTGCATCACGAGAAGCCGTTCCTGTGCTCGCACTTCGAGGTGTCGTTCGCGGGGATGGCCCTCGAACCAAGCCACCACTGCTGGCAGAGCTGATGCTACCAGAGGAGCAGCCGAAGCGCTTCTGATTCTCCTTTCCCCGATTTTCGGCTTTCTCCCTTCCCCCCGGAGCGCCGGCACCTCCAGAGGATGCACTTACAGGCTTTCGAAGGCCCGGAGCACTCATCGTTCCACGCCCATAGCCGCTGCCGCTCCGGCGCTTGGACGGACCGGATGGACCTGCCGGACCTGCCACTTTTCAAAACACTCTCGGAAAGGAAAAAGCATTGAAAAGCATGCAGAACCGTTACAGTAGTTGCCTTGGGGCTCAGGGCTGGTTGGGCTTGGAGCCGGCTCTTTCGAAGCCGACACAGCCGCCGAGGCATTGGCGGCGCTTCCAAGCGAGGCCTCTGCAGTGCACGCGCGCGTCTTCGATGTTGCCGCGAAGGCCCGGCGCGGGTGCCCGGTGCCCCGGTACCCGGCGCCTCGTTCGAAGAGGTGGCCTTCAAGTGGGAGCTCAGATCTTCGATGAGAGCACCTCGGCTCAGCGCGGGCGCGTGGCGAAAGTGCACCCGGCCCGGCATTTTGGGCCCTTGGGCCCGCACTCTGGCTCTCGATGATGCGGCGCTGGTCCTCCAAAGCGGCCTCTCTTAGAATACTGCGCTTCGCGCGGCGGCGCGGTGCGGGGACGTCGAGAGGGCGCCTCCTGGGCCTCCACGAGGGCGCGGAGCTCCAGCAGCTCCGAGGAGCTTTGGAGCTCTTCCAGCTCCCGAAGCCGCGCCTCCAACTCCGCCACCCGCGCCTGCGGCGAGCGCATTGGACTCTATTCGGCATCCTTCGCACCCGGCCTTCAGAGCGGTGTTTTCCTCCATTTTCTCTTTGAGCCGAGTCTGCAACAAAAAGCCAGTCTAGCAAGGTGCAACACAGGAATGCAGCGAGGGCTCAACAAGCAACTCTCGATTTTTTGCGCCGGCACAAGAGCTCGGTATGTCTGCTCGGCTCAGAGCCTTCCTTTGCCTCCAGGCACTCTCTTCATATCTCTCGCTGTGCGCAGCGACCTTGGCCGCCTGTTTTGGGCTCGGAGGGCTTGTACACGGGCTTCGGCTTGTCAGCTCCGAGACGACCTGGAATCGTCGCCTCAAAGACTTCTTGCACGGAGCCGCGCTTTTCTGGGCGCGGTTCACGGCATGTGCTCCGTCCGGGCTCCGGGCCATCCTTTCTCTCCTCTCGTCGTCAGTGACGAGCCTCTGAGGATTCAGCTCGCTTCCGCGCTTCCGCCCTCGCTTCCGCCCTCGCTTCCGCCCTCTTCGCCGAGTCCGGCACGGTGACATCCGCCCGTCCGGATAAAAGCGCTTCTGGTTCAACTCCTCGGCGTTCAGCCGAGAAGAGAGCAGAGCGAGTCCGGCTCCGATCGGGCCAAGGAGCGTAATAGTCTAGGTGAGGCTGGGAGAGCACGAACTCTTTGATCTTGATGTTCTGGGCTGGGATCTTGTTCCTGGCACATGTGCTTATATACTCAGCATAATCTGCAGGCTGCCACGGCCACACGATCAGGATGGAGCCCGGATCCGTGTCGTAGATCTGCGCCGAAACTCCTGCCGAGTCACTGGACTTCACCATGACTTCACCAACAGCTGAGAGATGTGAAACTTTGACCGAAGCTACGACAGCTAGGAGCGGTTTCGATGCTCTCAGCCTCATGCCATCGCAGCTACGTGCTCGATTTCCCAGGCTGGCTGCTGTGCTGGCGATGCACCTACTCGAGGGGCACCTCTCAGGCTGAACAATCCTCAAACTCTTACAGAATCGCTTACCGAAGGATGGCAAGCCACGGCTAAGCGGCTAAGCTTGATTTCAAGAGCTTGAACCGTGTGTTTCAAGTGGTCCTCCTAGTGGCTTCTGACACTCTTTCTGCACATGTCTGCACGAAGTTGACTGGAAAGCCCCTGTGGTTTCGAAGCAGGGCTCCCAGAGCTGTGCCCGGCCCTTTGAATCCTCCATTCTCCAGAAGGCTCGTCCAGCTTCTAGCAAGGCTTGTTGTCTCATGCTTGCCATGCTCCATGGCCTCAGAAACTTCTGGACCGTCGCACCCACCATCTACTCTATCAGTACAGGCAGGGCACCCACTTCACGTCCAATTGCACAAAGGCCATGCTGACACCACTGCTGCCTGATGTCATGAAGGATGCGGGGTCTCGCTTGAAGTCCTGCATGAAGCAAGCACGCAAGCCACGGTGGCATCAAGCCCGAACAAGGACACGCAAACGTCGTCCTCCGAATTGAAATCAATCTTCGGTTTGTTCCTTTGTTCTCGCACTTCCTTCACATGCTCCACGAAGGACTTGGGGACATCCACCTGCACTAAGACGGTTCCGTGCGATCTCTTTCGCACTTGGCGCGACTACCCTCGACAACTTGAGAAGCCCTCTACTACAGACCTGCATGAACGCTGCAATGCTCGTTCCACTCGCAGTCCATCCCCGGCAGTCAGCTTCAGAGAGCGCACTGTGCCCTGACCGACGCCTCCATGTCATCGAGGTCTCCTACGTCGAGGTCCCGGATGTCAGCCTCCGGCAATCAGAGCATGCGCCGGTCTCTACGTCTGAACCCTGGCCTTGGCATCCAGAATCTGGTATCTCGGAGCAATGTAGCTTCCAGTCACGCCAACAAGGCCACCGATGGCCAGGAGCCACGATTTTCGAAGCATGGCAGTGTTAGGATAGCCTCCGGTCTGTGCGTGTGTGTCAGCTTTCTTGCGATGTCGGCGAGTTGCTGAAGCTGCTACGGATAGCTACAGCTGCTGCTTCGTGCTGGGACGTGCCAGGCAGCTGGTGGCTGGCAAAGGTTCCTGTGTTGACAAGGTTGAGCGACGCTGTGAGCTAAGCGCTGCTGCCAGGAGCGCTGCAAGCTTCGCATGACTCCAGAGCCAAAGCAAGCAGCCAGGCTGCCCCGGCTTTTCATGCATCCGAGCAATGGCTTTCCACGGGCCCTTAAGGGCACCGCATGAGCATAATTGAACATTGCCCTCGTTGCTCTCTGTACATGGTGAGACCTTTGTGACACATTGTCTGCCCACGCTTGACGCATCTCCTGTATTCAGGAGTCACTACGTGCGGCAGAGAACTCAGAAGTCTGCTGAGCTGCGGAGCCAAAAGAATCGTGGCTCTCACTCCCCCCGCAGTTGCCGAATCATGGACTGCCAGTTCTTTTCTCCAGCCTGAAAGAAAGCTCGCAGCCACTTCGGCTGCTCACGATCCAAAGCAAGCTGGCGTGCCTCTTCTTTGGCTTCTCTTGCCGACATCTCTGCATTCCACCGGGAAACCTCTGCTGTAAACTGCTTCTTGTAGCGCTCATAGAACTGAAGTCGGCCTCAAGACATCAAATGCGCACTGTCATGTCACCGCCGTGGCCACCACGAGCTGAGGATGCAGCCATCAACGATGCTTCGGTGAACCGGCCTCAGACGCCGAACGGTTGGACTCTTCCTGTTGGTACTACGTCCAGGAAGCTCTCTTTTTGCAAGCAAGAAGCGACCGAAAAGAACTCATCGATTCGGTGAGCTCTTGCACTTTCTGCTCGTCGATGGTCTCCTCCTCCATGAGAACTGGGTCTGCTGGCCAGCCACCGCCACAGAGCAAGGCCCGCAGCTCGTATTTGGGAAGGCCGATCCACTTTCTCTCCGGCAAACCACTGGGCTTCTCCTCGGGGGCCGCGGCGGCCTTTGGCTCCGCTTTGCCCTTGGCCGCCGCTTTGGGATTCGGGGCCTCTGGGACCTTCTCCTCCTCGGCATTCAGGCGCCGCAGCCGGCGTTTGATGGACATGCGCGGAGGCTCCACCTGGCGCTTGCAGACGAAAAGGCATGGAGAGTCTACATGAGTCTGCGCTGCCCTTACCTTCTCGTCTCCCGGCAAGGCCCCAAAGTGACTGTGGAGCGGCAGGAGGTCCAGAAGTCGTATGGACACTTCAGCGATGTTGGTCAGACGGCCTGTGCTCAACACGCGACTCCCATGTACATCGGCACAAAACTGGCAATTCCGACCGACACTGCACTCGAGTAGGATGCAGTTCGGCCTGACTTGCGAGGGGATGTTCTCTCAGACTAAGTCTACAGGAACGTGCAGGGTGGTCGCAGCATTTCTGAGAGCTCATCGACGGACGAGTCACAGCTGCCCCGCCTACGAAATGATCGCATGCAGCCCGTAGTGACGCAGCCATCCTTTCCCGGTCCTACAACGTTAACACAGTGCTTTTCTCAAACAACCAAAAGGTGCGAGTGCGAGATGCACAGAATCAGAAGAAGCAAGACTGCCAGCGCTGTCCTCTTTGCAGGTCTGCAAAGCATCCGCATGACGTTGTGCTTCTGCTTCGACCAGTTCTTGAAGTTCAGTCTCCTTGTTGGCGTCGGCCAAGCGTGGATTCAGGCCTCAGGGGCCGGACGTGCCGAAAACACGCACAAGGCCCCTTTAGGTCTCTTGGGCCACCAGCGCTGCTCGTGAAGTGCCCTTTTCCTGCCAAACTCTTTCCAGGTCTGCACGGTCCTTAGCTCGACAACAAACCCTCAGGGAGCTGGTCACGGCTATTGGATGCTTCTGGGATGCGCTTCGTGCGCGTCCCGCGTGGACTTCGTGAGCTCGGCAAGCGCCCTCTCCGTGAGCTCCAGGAAGAGCTTCTCCCCCAACCCCAGGAGCCTCGGCAAAAGGCACTCTCCTTCTCTCTTGTTCTCTCTCTCTCTCTCTCTTTCTTTCGCCAGGGCTGTGGGCAGGGGAGAACTCTCTCTCTCTCCTCTCTTGGAGCAGGAGGCCCCGGCGTTTCCTCTCGGAGCTCATCGCCCCAGGTCCGCAAGCCTCTGGAGGCTTCCTGCCTGGCATGCCTCAAGTCAAGGTCTCATGGAAGTCTCGAATCAGGCTATTTTTGGGGAGGCCTTGCCATGCAGGACAGAAGCTGAGACCACCACTCGCATGAGACCTGCATATCTGAGAGGAACTTCTGCATGAATTCCGGAGTGCCACCAGCCTGCATGCTTTTGCCGAGAGTATTCATTTCGGTGCCATGTCTCTGTGCAAACAACCGATGCGAGCGAGCTTTCCACTTTTTGCAATCGGGTTTGCGGTTTAGGATCTCGTGTTTGCCCTGTGGTCACTGTTACATGGTGATGGCAGCAATGCGGGTGCCCAAGCACCAAACTATGGGCACAACTGGGCAAGAGCTCTGCATGGACGACTCTGCAGAGCAGTGGGTCTCCACTTCCACCAAAAATTGTTGCCACCGATTTGTAGGGTCGTGCCGTGCCACCTACGACACCAAAGACACTGACGGTGTCATCATGGGGCAGACACTGAGAGAGCGGGTGAGAGAGAGTATGTACAAGTTTCTTTGTGCAAGACCTGCTCCACACAGCCTAGAACTCGCCAATCACATCTTCCGGGGTGATCTCTGCCAACTGCTTAGGCGCAAAGTTGATCTTGCTGTCCGGATTCAGGGTGTAGAGGTCGCTGGTGTACTTTCGGATGTCGTCCATCTCTGCAAATTTTCGCTTGTTCTCCCGGATCATGTTGAAGCGCTGCATGAAGGCATCCCCGCTCATCATCTTTTGACGCATGGCGGACTCAACACCGTCGCCTTGCAATCGAACGCCTCCCAGTGCAAACGTGATCACTCCCATGATCATCAAGCTGGCAAAGCACGAGAAGAAAACCATGGCATATGTGATTTGGATCCTGGTCGGGTTCGTGATCATCTCCTTCGTTTCCTCGAACCAGCGATTGATGCGATAGCTCAACGTGGTGGTCTTCGCTTTTCCACCCCGAGCCCGGCTCATCATCATCATGTCCAGGTCGGTGTCCTCTTCCAGCGACAAGCCGCCTTCAGAAAAAGCGAGAAGGAACCTATAACCGCGACAAGCCGCTGCCAACTTCCCCAGACAAACAAAAACTGGAAGCTACGTCAGGAGTTCCAAACCCTAAAAACAGGCCGCCAGCCAAACCGCTGTGCAAGAAAAGGGTCATCAACCTAACCCCTGAGAAGCTAAACCGTCTACACATTCGAAGAAGCCACAGACACACAGGCTAGCGTCCATTATCATAAGAGCTGATGAAGTAGCTATCTTCACGCATTCTGTCTGCTTTCAAGTTGCGGAGCTCGTCTTCCAAGGAGACGCGAGCCACTGCAGTTGATCGCTTGCTTTTGCGCTCGATTGATGTTGCAAAATTGTCTGCCTCGGTGAGGATGTCGTCAAAGGAAGCCTTCTTTCGGCTTTCGGGCTCTGATGGCTCTGACTTGTCCGAGTCGGACGAGTCGGAGTCTGACAGGTCGGAATCGTCCACGACGGGTGTCACTCCTTTGGCGGCGCGAAGAGACACGGAGGCCCCGGAGGGCGCACGCTGAGACCCTGGGGCCACGAAGCAGAGCTGGCACACGTAGAGGCCCAAGAGGCAGACGACGAGCAAGCTTCTGCGACCTTGTCTCAAGCCCACGAATGGCCTGCCAGCAAACTGGGGTTCAGGCTCACAGGCTACCAGCATTACCAGTTAGCTGCGTTCAGTGCTCTGTGCGCTGAGCAATGCGGCTGCCTAGCTACAGCATTTGCCTTCCTTTACATGATCAAACCATTCTGGCCTTCCAGTCATGGCTCGCGTCGGAAAACTGGCTTCTCCTATGCCCTATGCGCCCTGCGCTTTGACTGAGCCAGGAGAGTTAGTTACAGTTAGTTGCACATCCACACGAGGGGAGTCCACAAACTGTGCAGACACTGCCGCAAGCGATCGCGAGCCTGACCAGCGTAAGCCTCGTTAGAGGACTTGATGACGGATTGGATTTCGTTGTTGAATCTCTCGCTCTTCATGAGGGGCCCGAGCACCTCAAAAGAGGCCCAAAGTAGAGAGCACACACATAAGCACAAAAGGGTGATCCGTGGCCCACCCGAAGCAGTGAGTCGTCTCTCAACGCCTGCGATGCCTCGGGCAAGACTTAGCATCCGGTCTCTGCACTCTTTCTGCACTGTTGCACTTCAAAAGGCCTCCATGGATCGAGACAGCTGCAGGGCATGCTGTGCTTCCGCTCTCTGCTCGACCGGCACTTCGTCACTCCTGGCTCCCACTTTCTCGAAACCCTGAGTGTGTCATGAGTGTAATGAGCCGGGAGCCGCGCAAGTCTTTCGCTTCCTCGGCTTTGCGGTGGACCTCCACGTCGGCTTTTCTCTGACCCCGTGCAAGGGAATCAAATTCTGAGCCTCCTTCTGCTCCTCTGCAGACGGCAAGAAACACATGTCCTCCCTCAAGATGGAAAGGCTTGGAACTGCCTAGGAAGCCACTTTCTATTCGCATTGCCCCTTTGCAAAGCTTGGTGTCTATACCAGTAGCTCAAACCAAATTCTCAGGACGCTACTGCCAACTCGTACTTGGAGGCCTCAGAGCAAGAATAAAACGCATCAGCTTCCTTTTGCACTCTTTGGAGTCGCCTCACGACTCAGAGAGTGACACTGCTTTCCCGGAAGGCACCCAAGTGGCTGCCGAGCTCTGCCATGGCGCAGACCTCTCAGCGCGCCAAATTATGAAGCCCCCATATGTGAGGACTGCCTGCGCCCCAAATGCCAAATGGCACAGCAGCAATGGGCCGCGAACGGCAACGTACAGAATGCCCAACAACTCGCCGGTGAACGTCCAGGGCCTCAATGTGCTGGACTCTGGGGTAAACTCGTCTTGCCCGCATCACCATGCAGAATTGAGAAGAGCACTCGCCACCACGTGAGAAGAAGTGCCTCCACAAAGCTTGAAAAAGCGTCTGCTACACGATTTTGCACAAATCACACAGAGTGGCGCCTCACGCTCATGATGCGAGGAACCTTGGGCATGGCCGTCACTTCGTATCCTGCGCAACAAACGCACGGAAAGGCTCAGCCAGGCAGTCTTGGCAATGGCCTCCCTCCTCTGGAGGCGGCAGCGTTAAGAGCTGCGATACCTGAAAACCACATGAGGCGAAGGGCGTCGAAGGGCGTAGAGCGAAAGCAGAGTGCAACTCCTAGCCAAGCTGCATAGTCCAGAAGCAGCTGGATGTTGGAGCGAACAGTGGAGGCCCTTGCAATGAGCGTGCCTGGCCAACAATTCTTTCCAACTTCGTCACCCGGCCAGCTCCAGCAATCACAGGCCGGGCGATCGTACACGCTCTTGGGCTTTTCGCCGCGGTTCGCCGTACTTCCGCCCAAAGCCTTTGCCTGGCAACTGCGGAAAACTGGAGACACCTGTCTCATGCAATCTGAAAGCGGAAGCATGCTAGGCTGAAATCATGAAGGACTCGCTGGCACAGAGGGTCTCAACAGCAGCGGCATAGGCCACCGCAAAAGCATCCATGGGCACCTCCGAAAGCACCCCTTAACAGATGCGCATGGCAGCCTTTCTTTGAGGCTCCGGCTTTGCATTTCTCCTGGATCTGGCTTTCCAGCTCCTGTGCCTCGGTGAAGGAAGGCGCTTTAGCCGCGTGCGGAAAGAGACAACGGTGTTTGCTCTTGGCCAGAGACCCGCTGCGCCCTCTCTTGCTTGCGTTCATCCAGTGTCTGGTTGAGCTCTTCAATCTGCAGACACAAAGCCAGCTTTCTGCGCAAGCCTGACCACTCGCAGCACGCCTCCCCTCCATAATACACGATCTCCGGCTCGCTGTACTGCTCCTCACCCTTTTGGCACATCATCAAAAAGGCCTGGTTCTCCTTCTGCAGTCCCTGTCACAGCTTGGACAAAGGTCCCACGTCATGCTTTGTCTTGCACCTACAGAACCTCCATTCATTAGTCAAAGTCACTCAACGTTCTTGTGAGCGGCCACAGTGTCCCGTGCCAATAATCACCATCGAACTTAAAGCACTGAAATTCGTTCGCACGTCTTCTTCTTCGACGCGAGAGCTTGTGAATAGCTTTTCTTCGTTGCTGCGAGCGCTCCACACGCAATATGCACAACTGATGTAACGTCACTCAAGAGGTTCCCTGTTCATGCCTGTGCTGACACACCCTGATACCCGCTGGAACTTCCCGACCAGGAGTCCGGCCTTTCGCCTTTGCCAGGATCCGCCATGCACCACCCCCATATTCAGCCCTTCCCTCCCTTCTGCTCTTTGAGCAGCTTTCCGCCAGCTCCAGCTCAGAGTGCTTTCATTTATGCTCTCCCAAGAGCCCGGGCCTGCGGCGCCTTGGAGCTGAGCTCCAGCAGCCTTCCCTGGACCGTCGTCTGGCAGAGCTCCCGGAAGCGAACCATGCAATCCACCACCTGCGCAGCTTTTTTTTTGTGAACACGGGAGGCTTAAAGCAAGAAGAGCTCGTAGGGGCGCTCTCTCCTCTCACCTGCCGCTCCATGGAAGTCAGCACTGGCAGGGTCTCGGCCTCAGACAGAAGGAGCTCTGCGAAAAGGCCGACTGCAGCGCATCTCTTGGCCCTCCGCATCGCCCAAACCTTCCTGAATCTTGGCGACACGCTGCTTGTACCTGAAGCGGGTTTCGTGGCCGCCACCGAGAGATGTCCAATAAAGGCCGACATCTGACGTCTGAGCTCCGAGCTGCTCTTCTGCTTCATCGATCTGTTGAAGTGCAAATTCAACCGCATCATCTTGCTCTTGGCATTTCTGCGCCACCGCCACCAGATGTCTTTCGAACTTGTCCTGCGCAAAGATCCTTTCCCTAATGCGTTGCTGGGAATTTAACCCCGGATCCATCTCATGCACATCATGCACGTGTCGGTTGGGGAGGCGTGCCGTCATTGGTCGTCACTTAGCGGCTTTTACCCCGGGTATTAGAGTTAGAGAACGTGGTTGCACAGCTGGCAGCGTCCTTGTGCTTGGACACAGTGCTGTAGCGCGGCACATACCAATCCACCTGCGGCACACCCGAAACCCTGAGCTCATGCCGCAAGCATGCGCAAGCGGCCGGCCCCGGCCACCGCCCGCCTGCACTTCGCCCTTTCGGTTGGTGTGCCGGCGAAGTCGTTGGTCTAGATCACGACGCACCTCTTCACAGGCTGCTGGGATGTCCACACGGTCCAGGTAGCGCTTTTGACCGATAAGGTTTTCGAAGATGGCGCTTCGCAGCGATGAGAGGTTCTCCTCGAACCAGTCGTTGTCGAAAGCCAAGGTGTCCAGGGCTTCCGTGCCATCCGCAAACTTCGGCTCCTCAAGGACCTCCGACTCGTCTTCCGGGCCAACTTCCGCGGGCGTCTCCTCCTGGCCCTGGCTTTCTGGTGGCTGCAAGATCTGCTGTCGAAGATCCTCCAGGACCCACTTCTCCAGCACCCTGCAGCCCGTGCCTTCTCCAAGCGGCCAGCCGCTCTTCTCTTCCAGCCCAGCAAAGCTTTGGGCCTCCTCTTCCAGCGCGGCAGCCTCCCTCGCCTCTGCAGCCTGAACTGCCAACCAGAAGGCTCAGTACTTGCCGCACTTGTTTTGACTTCTCTTATGCAAAAGTTTTTGTTTACGAAGTGCGCTGCTGCTTTTTCTGCGCCCCTCGCCTGCTGCACTTCTGCCTTGGCCGCTTCCACCGCAGCTGCCAAGGCCTCCAAGCGTGTGGCCTTGGCCGCCTCGTCTTCGTCGGGCACCGCGGGAAACGCCGCCTTCCGCAAATGCAGACAGCGACGGAACAGGACTCTCATAGACTCAGCAGCAGAGATCTGCAGAGAGAATCAGAGAGAGGGAGAGGTCGTTTGAGCCGGGGCGGGTCGGCGATGGGGGCGAAAGGGCGGCCTTCGCCTTGTTGACGGCGTCCTCCTCCAAGGAAGCCGTCTGCGCCTTCCGCTCGGCGGCCAAGGCCGGAGCATCTTCGCTCGGATCCAAGGCCAATCCAAGGTCCTAGCAAAAAATTCCAAGCCCTCGATCTCTTCGTGCTCTTTCTGCTCTCTTTTCTTGTTGGTCTCTCTCCCGCGCTCTCTCGCCCGGGCCGTCCTTGCAGTAACCGCGAGTTTCTCTGCGAATCAAATCCTGCGCCTCACCTGGGTAGCGGTTGTGGATTTGCAGCATCTGGTCCGCGTGGTCTCTGTAGCCCAAGGCCATTTGATCCAGGTGGTCGAAGGTCTGCTGCTTCAATTCATCCAAGGTTTCGTGATGCGCCGCATCATCGATCGCGCCGTGAAGGTCTTGCATTGTCTTCTCGTTCCTTTCACAAGTCTCCTCGAAGTCCTTTTCACAATCCTCTACCTCGCCATTGTAGTTCACCTCGAACTCTTCCACTCTCTTCTTCAGAAGCTCTTGCTTACGAGCCAATCCGAGGAAGAAGGTTATGACCGAAGTGACAGACTGGTGCAGTGCCTGCATGCGAGTCGAAGACACGGCTGAAGTTGCACGGCTGGTCACTTTCCGCCTCCTCTTGCTGTGTCAGCTTGTTGGACAAGGCGTGCAAGAGGGCCGCAACCTGGAAAGCAGCCGAACAAAACCACCAGAGTGTACGACATCCAGAGCGTACGACATCCAGAGGACGAAAGAGCTGCCCGGCCTGATCCAGGCACTCACGCAAGGGCGGTCTGACCTCCAGGCAAGCGGCACTTGTGACAAGGACAACAGGATGGCGAAAGGAATTCGCAGCCACTCCTCGGCATCGATGAGGTTGGCCACAGAATCATGGCCCTTCCACTCCTGGAGCGGCAGTCTGCAGCATGCAAAGGCTGTGGCCGCAGTAGGATCTTTGGCGGTGAGACACAGACAAGGGTGCTCGTGTCAAGGCCGGTCCCGCAACACTTTGCCTGTCTCCAGCATTCTTTTCCAACTTTGGACAGAAGACAGGAACAACTGATCACACCTTGCCTGGGATCGTTAACGACATTCCAAAGCAATTGGATTCAACATCATGTAAGGACGAGGAGGGTTCGCACTTGCGAAATGTGCATTCGGAATCGTGTTGTCCGAAGCGCTTTGCACACCGTGGCGCTTGGTCCTTGCAGCCGCCGCCGTGGCTCGGCGGCTGGCCAGCGGAGCTTTGCGTCCAGCAGCTGGGTCACCCCATGCCAAAATATTCGCCCGCTACAGCAGGAAACCGGAGCAGGATGGACCGCTGCCACAAGTCACGTGCTCAACTTCAACTGCGACGGCACGACGGGACGACAAGCCACAAGGGGAAGAAGTCGCAGACATCCAATTGGCGAAAAAAACTGGACCCCGCTAAGGAGGTTGGGGTGCTTCAACGAGGACTCTGCTGAGAGTCGGTGACGGACAAAAACGCAGAAGCTTCACACAAATGCCAATCCCCCAGCTTATCTGGCATCGTTTGTAGGAACATGGCGACTATCGCACACGATTCACGCACGAAGCATGGGTACATGAGGAAGCTAGCGCCTAAATATAAATCTATATATATATATGTACATATATCTATATATATATATACATATGTATACGCATCTTTGTATATACATGTGTATATATATATATATATATATTGTGACCCCCGCCCCAGGAACATGTGTGTATATAGATATGCATATATGTAGGTCTATACACTTATGTATTGATCTATACCTATTTCTGCTTGCCTTGCCTGCAGATGCATCAGCATCTCAACAGGACACCTTTTTTTCCAGAGCTCCCAGGTGTTCGGCTGTTCACAGAAAGAGCTTGACACATGCCGGGCTGCGCTTGTCCTGTCTGGCATCATGAAGCTCGAGTTCCAGCCCAAGCTCCCCAAGCATCTGTTCTGCTGAGACCTCAAAGACACCGAGAACTTCGAAGGGACGCTCCGAACTCACAGAACTGCGAGAGAGCCCTCGGCGTTCAGGGCTTCTCTGAGCTCCCTGAGCTCCACCAGCAACGTGTCAAAGGTCTCTTGGGCTCGATCCTAGGTCTTTCCAAAACAAAACACCCAGACCTCTCCATGCGCGGAAAGCCATGCGCCGCATGCGCCCAGTCACATTGAGCTGCGTGTTTTGCTCCTCTGTGTGCCGCACGAGAGCCTCGGGTTCACAGCAGTGAACTGCTCTTCCAGACCAGAAGAGTGCTCAGGAGAGCAACTACCACCAGTCGATGCTGCGGGATTGCGAAGAGCCTGAGCAGCTTCCACTTCGACACGAAAACGGCATGAAAGCTTTCTCGGGAACCCACTCATCGATAAGATCTTTCCGTTGTCGGAAGACGTAAGCCTGGTGTTCACGTACTTTTCCGACAGCCTGGCAAAACCAATGCTCTGCACGCTACTGCTGGAAACTAATGCTCACCCCGTGGCATGCCTCAACCAAGGACTCAGGCTGTCTGAACTCAGTGCCTACGGCCACAAGGCTGCAACAAAGCCTCGGCAAAAGCCCAAAGCCACTCTGAGGTTGCCACTCTTGATGCGGCGCATGACGACAGCCATGCTGTGCCGGTGCCTCTGTCGCACTGCGCTTTCCACGCTTCGGAAATACAACCACTCTCTTCCAGCCTCGACCAAAAGCGATACGAGGCAAGACCCCTTCTGAGATCTTGGCCTTTGCTGCTTCCAAAGTAGCAATCCTTTGTGCCACCGCACCTGGAGCTCAGATGCATTTCGCAGAAAGAGTGGCCTCCTGCTGCATCCCACAGTCCAGGCCTTGTATTCTTTGCTATGCTCCAGCGTCTGGACCTAGCGGGCGACATCTCTCGACTCTGGAACAACCAACCCATCGAATTTCTTTCGAGTTTTCGGCCGTGAGCTTGGCACCCAGTTGTTGCATGGCTTTCCTGTGCCAGGGAAAAAGCACAAGGGCCACCGTCCAAGCCACTGCAGGGCTTGTGCTGATCAGGCAAATGACCGGTTTTCGAGCAAGATCTCGTTGAAGGAGAGGGCCTTCGCAGTCCGGCTGCACCGCACACTGATTCTACCAGCAGCAAAAGCAGTGTAGCTGAGGCTTCGAACACGCTCTTCGATCAATCGCTCAGCTTCACCATGAACAACATGAGCCGCAGCTGTCAAAGCCTTACAGGTCTGTAGGGCTTCCACACGGTGTCGTTGCTCGACGATTAGGGTCGAATGTGGTGAGTAGTACACCTCTTGAGAACGTAGAGATGGGTGTGTCGCGCTGCCTCTACCAGTGTTTTGAGGAGTTCCTCCACACTGGACTTCCGCAGATCGTCGATGCGAGCCAGCTCGCCGCTGGGTCCCGCAAACTCCTCGATGCGGCGCCGCCGGAGAAGAGTCGCAGCCTCGATGAAGAGGGGAGCACGAGAACTCCCCTAAAACTAAGCTCTAGGGGGGGCCTCCAAGGCCGAGAGGATGCCCCGCACCTCGCCCTCCGTGCGCTCGCCCAATGTCCGCAGGGCCTTGCGTGCGGCGTTCTCGGCAGCCACCGCCTTGGCTTTTGCCGGATCGATCGTGCCGTCCATGGGGAGATCCTCAAGTTCGTCCAGCAGCTTAGCCTCATCTTCCTCCTCCTCTTCACCCTCCGCTTTTGGAGGGAGAGGCGGCGGCTCCAGAGGCTCCAAGATCGCGTTGCACTCCACTGTACTCGCTTCTAAGTCTCTTTTGATTCGCTCGGTCGCTGCCTCTACTTCTCGTTGGCAGTCTTCGGCCAGTGCGTCCATGGCTTGGTCGAACTCTGCCAGCGCCACATCGTGTCGCGCCTTTCGACTTGCGAGAAACTGCTTCTGTCGTTCCAGGCGTTTTTCCCTGAAAGCCCCTGCTTCGTTGCCCACATTGACAATAGGAATGCAGCCGCCCCGGAGATCGCCGATGTCCAGAGCAGCAGCACCCGTCATGGGGGCCGGGACTCCTGCAGCTCCGTGGTGGAACACCGCATCTCGCCTCCTGAGAGAGGGACGAGGACTCATCGACTCAGAAACCCAAAATCCGAGTCTTGCCTAGAACACTAGCACGCAAACAGCGATCTCGCTGAGATCGGTTCAGTTCTCCGCGCAGAATCTCGGGCGCTGCAATTGCTTCTAGAGGAGGTTGCTCTCGACGATGAGCTTCTTCTACATAAGCCAACTGCTGCTGCCTCGTGAGCTTCCGCTTGACAAGATAAGCATCAAGCACGCACAACTTTCCGAGGCAAGTGCTTCTTCTTCAAGTAGGCCGCCTGATCATGTGCAGATTCCGTCATGCGGTCCCTCTTGCGGCCCTTAAACACCGTGGCCCCTCTGCCTGGCCGTTGGCACTGGAAAGCCGCTCGGCTTGCAAGGCTTCTGAGAGTTTCTGGCTAGCGCAGAAGGATTGCACGAAGCCCGGCGATGGAAGGTCGCTGGCATCCAACCTTTCCAGAAAAAATCTATACAAAGGACATGGGAAACCCGTGGACTCAGCCGCTAAGCACCCGGCAACGTGCGCTGCACATGCTTACCCTTCCTGCCAACTTTCGCAGGGGGCCGCGGCGGCGGAAGCATTGTCATCCTTTTTTTTTAGAATCCTTTCTGGGCTCGAGGTTGGGATCTAGAAAAAAGTCTGCAGCCTGGGTTCTTGCTGTGACAAATTGCCTGTGAATTCACCGAGCCTCACAGAGGTGGCGAAGCAGTGACACACGGCCCCGTCACGGAGACTCACAAGGCTCGCAAGGCGTGCAACCGTTTTCCCCCGATGCATAACACTCTGGCGCTTTCAGCTCAGCTGAGCTCGACCAGGCTTATGACCTCACATGATTCACGGATCCCAGGCAGTACGGATGAACCGAACAAAAAGATGCTCCCAGTCGAAGAAATTTGAGGTCTCCTCGTTCCGTTCCTTTCCGTTGCAAGTCAACTGCAAATCGTGCAACTTGCAACCAAGGGAACGGATCCCAACTCTGCAGCCCTCACTGCGCAACCTGCACTTCAAGAGGACACTTGTCATAGGATTCGAATCTCGTACAGGTGAACATGGCAGTCCGACCCTCCAGCTTGGAGGTTGCTTGAAGACCCTCTCGATGCCGTACAGCAAACTATGAAAGAAGGTCCTTGCGGAGCGATTCTGCTGCGGAACCGCGGACAAAACCGACACACAGCACAAAGTGCAAAGCTCCTCTGTACTGTACATAGCATACCCGGCTGTACGGCTCAAAGGTAATCCTGCCTAGGATGCCGGTGCTAGCACAGATGATTTGGGTGGCAACATGCAGTCAACTACTCTTACGTACTGAGCCAGGGTAGGAAAAAGGGCGGGCAGGAGGTGCACAGAGAGAGAGAGAGAGAGAGAGAGTCAGAGAGAGAGAGAGAGAGTCAGAGAGAACAAAAGCAGGGAGAGCGAGCTGAAGTTCGCATGCGTTTTGTAGGTGTCCCTTCTCTTCGATGTGGCACACATTAGCTGTGACATGGGCTCCCCGATCCCTGCGAAGAACCCGTAAAGTGCTAACATCAACTGTAACGAGCAGAGCAGGGCCACTGAAAGAAGATGAGGATCCGCTACGAACGCACACGCTGTTTTGGGCTCATCGCGTTCGTTTTTGTGGCAGTCGTATCTTTCTCCTGACAAAGTGTAGGGTTTGGGATTTCGGATTTAGGCTGGGTTTGGGGTTTGTAGTTGAGGCTTTTTGTTCAGTAGCACCTTGTTCCTTGCTGGTTGGGAGCCTACTATGTGACAAAGCCATGCATGTAATTGTTGCTCTACTCTCAGAAGACACCTAAAAATAAGTACAGCTGGACACAGAGACAGCAAGATGGGGAGAGCTTGGAAGACGCAGCCACACCAATGGTCAGCATGCTCACAATATCTGGAGTTTCGGGTTTAGAAGTTGTGGTTGGGGTTCAGGGCTCAGGATCATCAGGGTTTCCTCCACTTTTCGTGTTTAGGGCTTGGGGCTTGGACAGTGTTGTTCAAGGTGTTTGGGATCAAGGGTTTAGAGTTTGGGGATCCTTCGACCCGACTCCAAGGAACTTCTGCGACTGTTTTTCGCATGGCTTTCACTGGGGTTTAGGGCACAGTAAGTCGTAAGGTTCAGCGCTTAGAGTTTCGGATGTAATTAGAGACTTAGGGCTTCGGGCTCTCAGGGTTTCGGGTTAATAAAAGTTCAGAGCTTAGAATGAGGGGGGGGGGTTTCGGGTTTTTGGTTCAGAGCTTCAAAAACTGAAAAGGTACAGAGACAATGCCACGACTTCCCCGAACGCTGTAGGCGCCAGGAGAAGAAAAGACACAGACAACACAGACAAAGGCACAGTCAAGAGACAGCAAAGATGAGTTGACGTGCTTGCCCTGAGGGAAAGCTTTACACTACGAGTGTTGGATGTGGTGTGTGTAAGTGGATCCTTGGTGCCCTTTTCGTGTGGGTTCGCTAACCCTTGGTATCTGAGATGGTAGCAGCGAAAGCTGTCGTCGTGAATCGATTTCGTCGGGGCTCAAAGCTTTCTAGATGTTCGTTGGCATTGCGACCGTTTCTTGATACTCCTGGGAAAAAGTCCCATGAACACCGCGAAGTCATACTCTCGTCGTGAGCAAAGCCTGCAACCAGTAGCCATTGGCTGCTGTCGCAGTTGCATATTAGCAAGGCATACACCAGCTCGCAGACACGTGGCCATGTTCCATCCCACCCGTCTTGCAGAATCGTGAAAGGAGCTCTGTGACCACTGCGCTTCTGAGGGCGACATTACTGAACGTGCACCGCTTCCCCTGGCCCTCTCTGAGATGGAGGCTGATATGCCTCCCAGCGTCCCGAATCGACAAGCAGGTCCACCTGCGCAACACCACCCAGCCAAATCAAGCCAGCCTCAAGCCTAAGCCGTCTGCAAGCACTACGGAGTCTACTGCCACCGGATCCAGAATCCGTAGTGGAGTCGTTGGGTTCTGACCTCAAGAGGCTGCTCAGCAGTAGCAACAGCAGGAGCTGCCGTGAGTTCGGCCGCGTGCAGCTATATCCGGAATGAGGATTTGCATGGTACCTGCCACAAGTATTCGAAAACGAATACGCATACCACTCTCCGGAGCGAGAGAGAGAGCAAACATGCAATGAGAAGAAGTAATGAAGCAGCGAAGCGAATCAGTCACGTGTGAAGTTCCGATGCTAAGAGTCTCCAGAAAAGAACCTCTGGATGTGCTTCAGAAGCTTGAGGCAACCCTGTGGAAGTCGCCATACTGCACTTTTCAGCAGGAATGTGTGTCACGAAATAACGCTCCTGCGCCGAATAGCTCGAACACAAGCCATTGAAGCATTAGCGTCAACTCTCGACCAACCCAACCGTTCGGGGGCGGCACGTAGTCCAAGAAAGTGGCATGGGCGGAACAAAGGCCAAAGCTGCGAGCTCAGACACCTCAACAGATTGAATCGAAACCCAGTGATGCAAAAGTACTTCAGCAGCTGGCTAAGCCTCCGACACTGGCTTGGCAAGGCATGTCGCTATCAGGCTGTGCGCCAGCCTGCATGCTATCACGGTCTGGACAGCATGCACCGGATGCAGCTGCTCTCCTGAGATTCCAGAAGCTCTGCTAGAGGAAGTCGCTCTTTCTTCGACGACTCTGGGCCCAGCTTGGGGCTGCGACCGCCCTCGCCTGCAATCCGACTGTATGCCGTGTCAGAATATCGACCGGTTACACACCATGCCCCGCCTGCAGGAACCACTTTCGGAGGTGTGCGCGCATCTGGTGTCTGGAACAAGCCGATGAAGCCTTCACAAGCGCTTCTGTAGCAAATAACACAAGATATCGCAACGGCGGTTTGAAGCTTTCAACAACGCCCTGGGCACGCACTCTCATGCAGCAATTGCCCCACAGTCACAAGCACATGATGCCACTGCCTTTTTCTCGAATCGGTGTCTGCTGGGGACTGAATGAAGGTCTTGTATCGGCATCATTGCGGCTACATCGATCCAACCTCAAACGGCATCACACGACTGTTCTCAGGCAGTCACTTCCCAACTACCTGCTGTAAGCAACCAACCCAGGTGGTGCAAAGGCCAAAGCTGCGAGCTCAGACACCTTAACAGATTGAATCGAAAACCCAGTGATGCAAAAGTACTTCAGCAGCTGGCTAAGCCTCCGACACTGGCTTGGCAAGGCATGTCGCTATCAGGCTGTGCGCCAGCCTGCATGCTATCACGGTCTGGACAGCATGCACCGGATGCAGCTGCTCTCCTGAGATTCCAGAAGCTCTGCTAGAGGAAGTCGCTCTTTCTTCGACGACTCTGGGCCCAGCTTGGGGCTGCGACCGCCCTCGCCTGCAATCCGACTGTATGCCGTGTCAGAATATCGACCGGTTACACACCATGCCCCGCCTGCAGGAACCACTTTCGGAGGTGTGCATGCATCTGGAGTCTCTGCTACGCCCATGCGGCCTTCACACTGGTGGGTTCTGTCTGCTCCAAGCGGACCTTCCGAGGCAGCTGCCTTTTTCTCGCACGGGCGTCTTCTGCGGACTGAAGGAAGGGCGCAAGTCCGCGTCGCCGTGGGCATGGTTGCACCGATCGCCCTGCTGACTGCAGCACAGCGGACACAAATGTGAGTGCTCCATGGATGCACATTATACCATAACTAATCGAAACAAGATGCTTTCTTGCAATGGCCACGCTCGTAGAAATTGCACATCTGAGTCTTGTAGATCCCTGAAGTCACTCGGAGGTCCGAATCTCCATGGGCAAACCTTGAGGCCAGCGCCGGAAGACGCCAAAGAGATTTCTCTAGCTTGCGTCAAGGGCCGGACGAACAGTTCTCCCCATGTGCGCACTTGCCCTGCAGAAAGGACCTGGCAGCAGCGTTCTGAAAGCGCCCTATGGGTGATGTTCAACACTGCCCAGCTTGCTTGCATAGCTTTGTCTTCTGCCTCGGCTTGCACATGCTCTGCAGACGGAGACATTTACAGGCCGAGGTAGGGACAAATTCGGTGGGCATCGCAGCTCCTCTAAAGAATGTGCGTACCTCTTGCCAACGGGCCCAGGCTTTGCATACTCAAAGGCCTTGCGGGGTTTCTCCACGCCTGCAGGTCTCTGAAGAGCACTTCCCCTTCTCGTAGAAGCTGCACCTGCAATGCAAACGGGTACTCTTTCGGCACCTTCTGACAGCGGAAGCATGCTGGCCACACATTTTCGTCTTGGCGAGTTGCATAACAACCGCGCTGTCCCTTCTTTGCTTCTCCTTCTTCCGGGGCGAATATTTGCTAGCTTTGCCGCAGCACGCTACAGAAAGAACCGGCGCAGGCCCGCGTTCCCGACCTTTGCTGAAGGAGATGAAGACAACGGTGATGACCTTCAGTTCTCTCCTTCTCCGACTCTCGGTGAAAAGACCGAAGGTCCGCCTTGCGAGGTCCGCTGTGGCCTCTGGCTCAGCCTCGCAGACTTGCGGGCTTCGCTTGCGGAAAAGCTGCGTGGGGCTGATGGTGCTGGGCAGGCGGACCGGTGCTCCGAGCATTCCATCGGACATTCCATGAATATGAAACTCCACCAAAAGCCAGACTGCGGCGGGTAAGGAGGTGCCCAAATAGATTGGAGATTCCTGGAGGGGTCTGTGCCACACTCTGCATTTCTGAGCGGATGTAAATGCCACTCAAATCCCACGCCGGGACTATGCAGGGCTAGGGGTGTCCGAGACTTGTGGCTGCATTGCAGCTGGCTGTACATCCCAGAGAGACCCTTAGCTCTTCTACGTGTTGCTATAGTGCCTTTCCGCCTTCAGGAAAAGCATTCTGTTCCTCCGGGGAGGCGAATTCAAGTATTGCGACGATCGGTGACACTGAGTCGCCGATCGCCAACTCGCTCCCGACCTTGGCAGCCGCCCAAATGAATAGCAATCGCGGGGCTGTTGAGTGCTTTGCTACCCTTTTGCCACTGAGCCTCCGACCGTGATGGGCAGGAGCCATCGAGACGCAAGATCGGCTTCTTACTGGCAAGATACCTGCGTCTCCTTGTGCATGGCCCTGGATGCCCTGTGAACCCACAGTTGGACTGGGTTGTCGCAGGGCGCTCCGTCTTAATTAATCTGTACGACGTGCAGGGCGTAAGGCGACTAAGGCGGGTCGCTCACAGCGGATCCGAAAGGGCATGAAAGGAAAGTTGCGAGCCGAACTTTCTCCGCGCTGCCTGTAGAATGTGGCGTCCATTGACGGCACGACGAAGCTTTGGACCCAGAGCTGTCAGCAAATGGAGAATCCTTTGTTGCTCCGTGCCATGGCTGTCTTCAATGACCCTCTGCGCGATGTAGTTTCCGAACCGGTCCAAAGCCATTTGCGTGAAGGGAGGATTGGAAGCTTCGTCTCCGAGTAGTGCCACCATCAGTGCATCCCTCTCCTCCTGCAGTTCGCGCCGAAACTCCCCTGTCATGGCCTCCAAAACCCGCTCCAAAACCAGGCTTGAATGTCTATTTCGTGCGTATGCCAGGATGTTGCAGTCATCAACGAAAAGCCTCGCAATCTGCTGTAGATGTATCGGCCTTCCTCGTGCAAGGACTGCACGAAGAACATTATTGCCATAGGGATCCTCAGAAGCCCCAGAGTCCAAGGACACGCAAGGCTACGCTGCCCTGCGAAGACTTCAGCTACAATCATCGTGCAGCTGAGGCTCCGTTGCCAGCTTCTGGAGTTGCCCACTGGTAAGAAGGTTATTCAAGAGCTCGGTCATACCCGGACTGTCGTGCGGGCAGTGCTCAATGATCCGCTGCAAGACACGGCACGAGTAGATATGTGATGCAGCATCTACTGCGTGATTCTTCAGCTCCTCCACGATGAAGCCCACATCACCGTGACTTAACAACTCCACACATTTTTGTAGAACGAAATTACCATGTAAATGCTGACTGCAGGCCAAGACTTTGCCCCGTAACTCGAAAGCTAGCAGAGGATGGAGTTCTGCTGGGACGCACTGTAGTGCTTGCTGTACAATCCAGCAGCCATGCTTGTCCTGAGTTGATGCCGTGATTCTAACGCTCTCTCATAGACAGTCATACGACAGAACAAGGACTTAATTGAGCTCTTGCACCTTGGTCAGCTTCAGAAGAGAACCGCGAAGGCGTCGGACGATTTTCTTGCAGAGCTCCAGGCTCAAATCGTCATCAAGAGTGATAAGCTGCATGATCACTTGCGAGGCGTGCGGATCACACGCAAGGCTAGGCAAGTCTGGTAACAAGGACAACACCAACTCCGAGCGGAAGTTGGAGACGTACGGTGCTTGAAGACCTGCAAGCTGGGCGCAAAGCGCCTGTGCACCGTCCTTTGTGCAGATAGCACAATCCACTTTGGGTACCTTTGGATCTGATTCCCTTCTGGCTCGCCTTGACTTTGCCTTGCCAGACAGGAGGGTGGGCAAAGATGCTTTCTCAAGTCCTGGCGGCGGCCCGAACATAGAAGGAGATAGATGCTCGGAGAGCTTCAGGGTATGTCCATGTGGGGAGTCACCTGCCTCAGGGCCAAGATTGCGAGGTCTCATCTTCAACGTCAGCAAAACTGCGAAGCAAACTGCGAAACAAATCTAATCCACCTGCCTGCAGAGTCTCCGGATGACCTGCATCTTGCACTGTTTCCACGGTCGGGTAGTCCTTCTCACCAGCATGACTCTTGGGATGCTGCATGCCCTACAAAGCGCCCTGAGACACGTAGCCCGAATTCAAAGTCGGGGTTCAGTTTGAGCCCAGAAGTGCTGAAAGATAAAGAGAGGATGTGTCAGCCCCGTGTAATCACATCAAGCCGCGCCAGAACATGCGAGCAGCATGCGAGATGCTTGCGCGCTTTTGCACGCTCGGCAAGATGTTCAGCATGTCTCTCTGGAAGAGCCTGGTGCCCCTTGCCAACTTCTGCTTCAGCAGATGCTGATGCTGACAGACGCAGTCTCGCCGCGGTCAAGCAGTCTGCAGGGACACGTCGGAATCCAACAAGTGCATCTCCATGCCCAGGGGACAGTCCGGGTAGTGCAGAAGTCATGCACATCTCCACGTTGGCCTGGGAATCCTTTCCAAGGTCTTGACGTTCGCTTGCGCTTCATCTCGAGTCCCTTCTTAACCTACTTGGCCTTCTCCTTCTCTGTGCTAGATGTGAGCTGCTCTATGAACTCCACATCAGTCGAGAGCAGCACTTGGCTGGGTGTGTAATACAAGCACATTGAGAGAAAACTGACGAAGTAGCCAGCGGCGCTGTGAAAGCCCATGCTGAAGTCAAGGAAAATTGCAGAGAAGAACGCAGTGAAGGCCATGGCCTTGACTGTGCAAGCGGTGAACTGTGCATTCGCACCCAACGCCCAGTCTAAGGCGAGGACGGCACTGACGGCATACAGCTTGACAATGGAATCCGCATACCTGCCACGATGCGGAAAACTGAAAGATAATCCGTTTAGGTTCGTCATTGCAGAGGGACTCGCAGAATCATCCTGGGGGACTCTCGATGCAAGCTGCAAAGCTTTGACAGCGCCGTTGGCTGTGCAGCTGATTCCATGTTTCGTCTTGGGTGGACATCGCATGTCCGGGCGGGTGCTTTGAATTGCAATGCGTGGTGCATGGGTGGAATGCCTGCTTGCGACTGCAGGTTACACGCCAGGCATGGATACTCGCCAGCCTCCTCGAGGCTCCGATCACAAGGTCGGCATCCCAGTCCGCAACACGCTTTCATACGCTTTCAGAATGCTATGAACCTTTCGGCATCTTCCTCTGCCGAAGTTGTGCTTGCAAGAGACAAACTGAAAGAGACACGCACCATCCAAGAGGCCTAAACAGAAAAGCGATAGACTGACCCAGGATGGCGTTGCATAGCACAACCTCAATCACTGCACTTCGTGTGGACTCGAACGCGCGGCTCACTTTTCTACTCCTAACATTTGCAGGAAGGCTGCACTCCAGGGCAGTAGAGAAGACGTAAATCCCGCCAACGGGTCACGCACGCCTTCACCTGACACTCAGACACAGTGGAGGCTTACATCATTACAATGACATATCATGGGCACCCTTCCGCGGCCGAGGAACCATCCACCACCAACAGCTGAAAGATGGCGGCTGCCACACCGAACCCATAAAGCCAAATATTGGCCTGTAGGAGACTTTTCGACATGACCCTTCTCTGCACTCGAGTGTTTCCCGTGGCCTCCAAGACATTCTGACTCTTCTTGATAAGCCACTCGTTGAGCACCCCAGCCACAGCTGAACACCTCAGAAGTTCCACTTGCGAGGACACAGGAAACAGACGAGCACAAAAGCACATAGCACTTTGACTGTCGGCAGACAGAAGGAGCCTGGGAAAACCTGCGAAGAAACCCGCCACCGCTCAAGAGATTGAACCCAAAAAGTGCAACATCCCAACACTCCAAGACTGCTCGCGTCTGCTTGACCCCCCCGTGGCTTGTGCATCTTACCCCTTTCTGGTTTCTGCATCGGCTCACGGCTCACGCGACCACGAGCTGCTTCGCATTGACTTGGAGCCGCTGCGGCAGTTTAGTTTGCATTGGTCCGTTCGCATTCACCGTCGCACAGTCGCAGCACCCACGATAAGCCAGCTGACCATTATCAGTCTCCAAGCGCTTGCTGTACAGTGCATGCACACGTAACGGAGGAGCGTACCCAGCAGTAAAGAAAAGGCCTGGTCTCAGGATCTGGCAGCGTGCAGGTCTCGCAAAGATCCAAAGAATTGTTGAATTCTTCTTTGCAGAGCACGACCTTCGGGTCACGGATCTTGTTTCGCAGGGCCGTACGTCCGGCGGACAGCTGTGCAATGGTCGTCACACTAGCCCACTGCAAAAGCTCGATCAGCATGCTGGCTGCATCTCGGTGGTACTTCTCATGGCCCATGGATTTGTCGGGATCGCTGGCGAGATCCAGACGCGTCGCCGGCTCCAACCGTCATTTGAGCATGGGCGAAACCCTCCAGTAGGATCGCATGGTCACTTGTCGCTGTAACCTAGATCACAAGCAGGTACTGCAGGCACGTCTCGTCTTGCAGCGACGCGGCCCTGTACCGATTCAGCCGTTTCACCAGCTGCGGCTGCTCATTGCCGGGCACGCTCTCGAGGACGGATTTGCCGAGTTTGCAATAAGCCTCTTAAACTACGATGTGTACCATGCCTATGGCAAGTTGAGGTGGCTCATCCAATACGAAACGCATCCACAGCAGCCTCTTGGCACCGCTCGCCCAGTGCGGGCATGCGGTGACAAAGTAGATCAGCCATGTGGCTTTCGAGCACTTGCCAGCAAGTAGCGCCTCGGGTTCTGCTCCTGAGATTTGCAAGTCGCGAGTTCCACCAGGTCGGCGGGTCCTTGACGCCAACCAACAAGGCGTCGGGCGAGAGGTCGCAAACGCGCGGGTGGTTGCAGGTCGGCAGTGGCTGAAAATGAAGCCCGACATGCAAGCTGACTCATGCGACTTGGTCGATTTTGACTGGTGCGACAGGGGTTTGGGCGTCGGGCCCTGACTAGTGCGACATGGTTTTCTGCAAGAATAAGCCTGTTGGTCCTCCTTTTCCAACAGAAGAAGGCGGACGGCTTCAGCAGTTCTTCTAGAGTGGCAGTCTGGGGAATACTCCAGCTGTGCTGCTGGCTGCTTCCGCATAGGTGTCCTCAGGTCTTCTGGCATCTCCGCTGGCACCGTCGTAGCTGGAGAAACTGGTGTCGCTGGTGCAGAAGCCGAAGCCTTCTGTCTCACAGTCTTGCAGCCATCTCCTCACAAGGATCCATGGCATGCCTATGCAACACCTGCCAGGGTCGGAGCCTGCAAACTCAAGTTGCATCTCTCAAGGCCCAGCTTGCAAACTCAAGTCGCATCTCTCAAGGTCCAGCTTGCAAACTCACGTCGCATCTCTCAAGGTCCAGCTTGCAAACTCACGTCGCATCTCTCAAGGTCTAGCCTACAAACGCATACGACATCTGCCAATCCATTGGCTGAAGCAGGAGTTGCGAGTGTCTCTGTTGCTACATTGGATGCTACATTCGATGCACCAAACATGCAAGCAAAGGGCCACGAGACGGCCAGCATGATCAAGACTCCCGTGCGAGCATCCTGCGACCACACCAGTGACGCAGCGACTTCGGGGAGAACGGGAGAACGCAGAGCGACGCAGAGGGCCTGGGCCTGGGCCTGTCCCGCTTCGCCACAAGGTGCTGTGGCCAAGGCCATGCCTGAGAGGCACATCGGCAGCTTGGGCTCTCTTCACTTCTCTCTTCCCCTCTCGCTCCGGGCGCGCACCGAGAACCAGCAGGAGCAGTGCCAGCCTGACGTGTCGCCGAGCCCCCCGAACAAGATCTCAGCCATAAGCATGCCAGAGCTGCCACTGCAGCACACGGAGCTGTCGCCGCATCACCTTGCAAAAGGAGGCATGCGCAAACAGGCAAGAAGAAAAGCAGACGGAGACGCGACTTCCTTACTGAGTGGCAGCAGAGCGACAACACGGAATACAAGCGAGGTGGTGAAGAGTTTGATGTTATTCAGCAGCTGGTATTCCGGAGGAGAGATCTTCTGCAAGGCCTCAAACCTGAAAGCCACACAACCCAAGCAGCTCTGACGATTAATTATGATTGATTCTGATGCGTCTCAAGAGATGGTGCCAAGTTCCCCACACGAGCCGGTTCTGCAAGGTGTAGAGTATCGCAGGAATAGCATACAGCCACCGCCCTGACAAAGACATGGAGGCGCGTACCTGGACAGAAAGAACTGCAAAAGCCATGCTGCCAAAACGCATAGCATGCTGTGCGTGCCTCTGGTGGAAGCATGGCTGCAGCAAAGACCAGCTTCATCAACTCAGCCAAAAGGACTGCAACATCTGCGCTGTACCTCCAATACACTGTCAGCTGAAAGGCGACCGCTAGCAAAGGGCATGCACTACGAGGTGCACGTCACTCGTTTCTTTGAAGCGGTGATGAGCAAGCTGACCAGGAAAAGCCGCTCACAGTCTCACACAGGCTGTGACTTGTAGCCTCGCCTCTGGACGGAATACGACCCCATCAACATAACTACCTGGCAATTGCAGATATCTGTAGACGCATGGGCCGCGAAGACATGGCTAGTGGCGCCAGCAGAAAGCGGTTGCGAGCCCATCGATCCACGAAGTCTCGCATGGCGATGCCCCATACGGCTGCTGCACAACAGATTGTCTTAATACTGCTACTGCTACTGCAAGACTCAACCTCAATGGATCTGGGTTTCCGAAGTCCACGGTCGGGGCTCAGGACGTGGTGTCACCAATCAGCTTCAAACCCAAACGATAGCTTTAGAGTAAGAGTGGGCAGATACAGGCGTTCACGCTTGCGCAAGACCTCATGAGCAGCACGGATGCCCGCGATCCCTTCAAATTCCCTGGTGTTCTCTTGTTGTGCATGTACGCAGGATGTCTCTGTCGCGGGAGGTGACACCTCGGATGTCCTTGAGGCGGCCCGTGGGGTTGCAGCTCGTCCGATCCGAGATCGCGTCTTCTTCTGCGTGGCGCGGCAGGCGTCTGGGGGCGGCAATGGCAAGGCCAAGGCAGAACCTCCTCGGCTAGGAAAGAGAAGTCAGAGAAACGTATTCCTTCGCCAAAAGCTTGTCATTCTGCATGGCCCAGGACCAGAGCGCCCGGTGCCGGTCAAAGAACGCCTCACCGGCCGGCGGATGCTCTTTGAAGTCCTCCAAGGTCTTTCCCTCAAGATAGTCGATCGAGCGCAGCAAAACGAGTTGTTTATGGTCGGCATGTGTTGCCATGGCCGTAGCAAGGGGGGCGCCTTCCCGCTCGCCTCTCTCTTTGAGGATCGCAGTGAGCGCCGTCTCCATGATCTCGGGGGCACTGGGAAACATCTTGGAGATGCGCTGTTGCAGCGGGTGCTTCCAATTTCGCGGCCATTCGACACAGCTTAGGACTATGTAGAAGTACTCCCCAAGCTCCCGATAGTTCTCTTGCAGCAGCACGTCCTGGTCCTCAATGCAAGTGACCGTGTTGTACATCAGAGCACTTAGGACCAAGAGGACTTCGTTGTGCCTGAACTGATAGTCTATGTCCAAGTTGAAATGTGCCCACAAGGTCGAAAGCAAGCCAATGGCTTTCGGCAGAGCTCCGCCACCCAGCTTTTTCAAGAGTTGCAAGGCCTCGTCGAGAATCTGAGCCTGCAGAAGCACAGCTTCATACTTCTCTGTTATCGCTTCCAAGTCCAGCTCCAGGAGTTCACACTCCCGCTCTCTCTTTGACACTGCGTTCGCTTCTGGCTCGGAAGGACTCGCAGCAGACTCTTCATCGGAAACCTTTTCTCTCAGCATCTTCACATAACCTGCGACAGGTATCCAGGGAGAGGGCGCCCACAAATCCCAGAAAAAAAAATGTTGGAGGGGGTGGGGGGCTGGCTGGCAAGACAGAAAGCAAGGGGGAGGCACACTACCGACGCAGGAGCTTCGCTCACCGACAAGGGAACCGCGAGGAACGTCAACCCCGTCGGAAAACCAAGAGGAGGTGAGCATACTAAACATCGTGTCTGCGTGCGCTACCCAAACACCGATCCCTGTTGTCACTGCAGTCACTACAGGCTGCTTGTTCTGCAAGAGCGTCAATGTCACCTAGACCACGATTTCTTCCAAGGCAAATCCTTGGATCCCTTTCAGCTCTCAACCTGACAGTGCCGCAGGTGAAGACAAGGCACAATCTTGGCTTCGCAAAGTTTCTGCAAGGAAGGACAGTATTCTGCCCTCATCTTCCGGCAGCCAGCATCGAACCTGCCTTTGTGCGTCCAGGCTCTTCTTGAGAAGGTAATGGAATACCTCCTGCTCACCACCAGATTTGTAGATGTAGAGCTCGATGCACATCAACGCCTCGGAAGGGTTGAGAGGAGCAGCTACGCAGAAACAAGAGACTCTAGAATCGACGAGAAGTCGTTGAACCGCGGCACGGGATCGTTGAGCTGCTTCCGATGGTTGGGGTCCTGCGAGTGGGGATTGCCAGAGGCATCTCCCAGAGGCTTCTTGGGTTCCCAGTGGTGCAGAAGCATCGCGTATTCTTGGAAGATGGATTGCGCGTGCTGTCGGAGCTCACGGACCTCCCAGGCAACAAACTCCCATCCCCGGCCCCCCATCCGCGGCCCAAACCGAGCGGCCCGGCCTTGACCTGCTCCTCCCAGCTGCCACGTTCATTCTCGAGCGCCCGGTTGTCTTTCTGGATCTCCTCCAGAAGCTCGCCGGGAATCTCAATATCTTTGTCCGCATCTTGTTGAGATTCTGCCAACTTCGCCTCCATGTAAACGAGGACATACGCAGAGGATCGAGACTTCTGCGTCGCTGCATCGCTCTGGCCTTCTCCACCCAGAGCAGCTCTTCTTACCTCCTCCCAGCTAACAGTAGAAACGAAGGAGTCGCTGAAGCGAAGCCACCGGTCTTGGCGCCAGTCCTTCAGAAAGGCCACATAGTGACCAGCCCTGGCTTCGGCCTGTTGGCCTTGATGGACCCAAATGCCGAAGAGATGATAGGGCTCTTTCTGCAACGCAGAATAAGCCTCCAAGAGCTCTTCGTCAAGGGAGCAAATCTCCTCCTGCAGACGTTCCTCCTGCCTTTGGCACTCATCTGCCAATGCCCGGAGAGTCTGCACCGGAACCTCGGAAGCCTGGCAAGCCTCAATCCAAGCAAGCTGTGCATCTTCTCCTGCCTGCTTTGATTGCAGGGCAGTGAGAGCTGCAGAATGGACGGGATCGCTGGAATTGGGCTCTGCCGGCTGTCTGCTGGCGGATCGAAGGGACGCAGCATTGGCTTCCAAACAGCTTGCTGCACTTCGAAGCACTTGGGTCACCGGAAGTACATGAGAACCTGCTCCAGCCTCCAGGGTCGAGTCTAGACAAGTTCACACCAGATCATCATGTTTGCCTGCACGGATCTACACTGCACTCAAGCAGCAGGCTACCGACTACCGACCTGATATTGCTGGAAGCATTGCAAAGCCGACTGTTTCACAGCTTTCCGTTCACGGAGTCGCTGCACGGTCTCTTCCACCTGCAACACGGTGGACTCGTTCCTGCCCACACACAATGTCTCAGACGATTCCCTACAGCCATCACACCACGTGAGTTTGGGGAATCCTCTGCATGAAACGATCCGGAAAGATCGTGGTCTCGAAGTCGAACTCATCCTCGAGCTTGACCTGTTCCTGGTGGCATCTGGACGCATTTGGCAATAGGCAGAGACCACACATCCGTCACATCGAATCTCACACCAAGCCATGTGAGTGTGGTCTCCGCGTCCCTACACCCCCTACACACTGCCCTGCAGAGCAGGGTCCTTGGTTTCTGTGTCGAAGGCCACCCGCTGCAGCTGAAAGAAAAGAAGCTTCGGAAGTCTTTGGATCCAAACACGGGTTCGGCCTTTCGCCTGGCTGGCAAACACACAGAGAAGGCAGGCAGGCAGAAGGGCACACAGAAGGCACGTCAGCAGATGAACTCTCGCGGAACCGCGGCTGCCTTGCTCCCCGCTGGTGTGGTGTAGTCCACGCTCTGCTCGTTTGCCGCCGCCCAGGCTGCATACAAGTTCTTGTGCTTGACATCCAGGAAGATCTGCAGGAAGTCGCTCTGTTCTGAGCTGACGATGGGCTGCGTCTTGGGGGATGCCGTAGACTCTGGCTGTGCTTCATCGACATAGGAAAAGATTTGCACCTGTTCTCCGTAAAGTAGTTCATGAATGGCCTTCGAACTTCTTGAGCTGTCATCCTCCTCGCAACTCTGGAAATCTGCAAGTCAGAAACTCAGATCACGAGAGCAGCTTCGCGACAGCTTCGCGACAGCTGGGCAGCAGGAGGGTGGAGGAATCTTTAAACAGGGGACCAGCGGTCTTCGGGATTCCTGATCGGAGGCTCTGCTTGCAGAGCTGGGGTGACGAGCACTTGTCAAGCTTTGCGCTTCGAGTCCGTACACGTGGCAGGCTTAACCGCAGCTTCCCCCAATTTGCCCTGTCCTTCTGCGTGGTCGCATCTGACGCAATTCCCTCCTGGTCAACACAAACATCCAGGAAGCGAGAAAATCACAGATCCAGGTCTTCTGCACTCCTCCAACTGATCGACGAACTTCAACATGAACTCGCTCACATCCTGAAAACGGTTGCGAATGCCACTAACAGAGTTGAGAGCAGGACCAGTCCTCTTGGCCACCCACCGGAAGCTGGTGGCCCTGCAAGTCCACCAGCTCGTGCAGGAGCTGAGATGGGCTGACGCAGCTTCTGTCAGACAGACGGCCTTGGCTCACGCTTGTTTGGAATAATCTCTGGGCCGTCCTGTGAGCATGGCAAAAAAGGCGGATTTCCGAGCTTTGGACAGTATGCGAAGAGCTTTCTCAGCTCGAGCACAAGCTGCAAAGCATGTTCTCGACGGCGTTCGGCAGCCATACTCTCAGCAGTTGGGGTGCCTCCCAGAAAACACTGGCTGCGTGGCATCCCAAGATCATCTGCAACAAAAAACAGACACCGCAAAATTGCAGAGTTGCATCCAAGCACCCTCGCCGCAGCCTTCTTCAGGTTTCGGAAGGCTAAAAGGCCGAAACCGCAGCAGTTGATCCCGAAACTCTTCTGCATGGAAAAGTGTTTGAAGCAAGGAGTTCACGTAACCTCAGGCGCACATCATCCCGACAAAGTGCCGAAGCACCACGGAGACTTGACAAACAAAAAAACTCTACCGCAGGTGCATGGTAGCGGCAAGTGTTCCCCACGTTCAACAATCCGCACGGAAGCCCAGGCGGTCGCGGCATTTGCGGAGTTGGCACCATGTCCTTCAGGGACAGAACTGACAAAAAACACGGGCCGTCCTGCACCTGCAACATTCGAGGCTTGCAGACACATGAAACTGGCACTGCAAAGAAGACGTAAAGTGTTCGTAAATCCTCCATTGACAAGTCCCAAGCTGCGCAGAGGTCGTCTTTGGCACGATCTAATCCAGGTGGCCTGTCAGACCCTTTCGCATAGCCGGACGTGGGCTGCTTTGGCAATTCGGGCCATTCGTTGTCAGTGGGAGCCGCATCTCCGGCCAATGGGCTGAAACGATTTGCCTTATCGACCTTCTCAGGCTTTGCCTCGACTTCCGGTTCCGGTTGCGCACCAGTCAACAATAGCTCAAGTGCCTGCTCCATGTTACCACCCGCTTCGCGCAGGGCAACCTCCGCTTCCGGGTAAGCAAACCCCATGTCCACGAGTTGCTGGACATCGTGTGCCATGGCTCACAGTGCTTCAACCACGATCGTCGAAATCAACAAGAGCTGAAGGTTGCTGCAAGCATGCGAACAAGCATCTCAACATGGCAACTAGCAAGATTGACATGCGAGCATCAACTTGAACAATCCAGAGTTGCTCCCCCAAGTGCGGCAGATAGGTTCGTACGTCGTCTGTGTTGTCGGGAATTTCTCCTTGGATACACGTCATCGCCCTGCCCGAACTTGAAGTCAACCCGCAGAGGGCATTCCAAGTGCCGTCATTTTTTAGGCCCGAACCATACATCTGGCGTGTCGTGATGCCGTGTAGCTGCGTGTTGTAAACAGGTTGCCCACACGCAGACACCATGGAATGCCCAACAAATAAGCAAACAAGGAATAAACGAACCAACAGCACCGAAGGAACGAACAAACACTTTGAATTGGACGTGCTGCGTAGTCATAGCTTGTGCGTGCTCATTGTCAAAAGAATGGCATAATGGACAAACACAACGACCATGAGATGCTTGGACTGTGCACAATTGTATGCACAAGTCAATCAAACTGAAGACATACAAACACATTGTTTTGGTAGTTCGACTGTAGACCAAAACATACAAACTTCGGAAGTTCACAACAACGATCCTGGGGACTAACTTTGTTTTCGCACGTTCTATGACCTGTGTCATGGCTGGCTAGAGGTTACGGCAAGCACACACAGACACGCAAAATCCGAAGTACAGAGTAGCTTGATTCAACCAGGAACGCTTTCGATATCAACAATATGACGCAAACGCCTGATTATCGTGCTTGAAGTTACAGCAACGAGAAAGCGGCAGCACACTTGTAAGACAACGCTAATTACTGCGCAGCAACGTAGAAACGTTTTGATGAATCCGGTTGAAAAACCTAAAAACAGAACACAAGGCAAAAAATGAATTCAAACGCTAGAATTGTTTCCGTCTAGAGCGTACAAGCTCGAAATGTAGCGTGGCAGGCCACCGGTGGAAACGCTTTTGTGACTGACCTGCAAAGACTGCCTGACATCTTGCTTTGAGCACTTGTGAAATTTGGCGTGGCGGCCGAAACAATTCACAAATGCTCATTTTTAACATAGGCGATAGCCACAACAATTACATATTTTCCTTTTTTGAAAGATGATAATGGAATCTGCCAACTCTTTCCTTGTTCACCGGTGGGCAAGTCGTCCCATGTTACGATATATAAGATATGGTACATTGAGAACTGCTTTCCGAAACGAAACAACGAACTGTGCACGACAAACGTGACCACAACATAATGATGAAGAATTGCGCAACGAGACTTGTTGAGCCAGTTTTCCCAAATTTCGAAAATTCAAATGGTTGTTCTTGAACTAAACTGAAAACTGAACGTATCCATAAGCAACACCGCTCAATAAAGGTAAATCAACCAAGACATATCAATGCATTCAAAAATATGAAAAACCTGCTTAAAGCAAACTTGTCTTCTAATTTGTCTCCAATGGAGCAAAATGGTCGGCGGATTTTCTTACCTCTTTCCAAAACGCCGCTGCAACACACCTTCAACATCCACTGTACACGAATTCGACAGCATGCGCCAACAACTCGATGTTTCTGCCTCCCAAATGCCAAGAAAGGGCCCTTAGCCTGAAAGGTCTTACTACTGCTACTACTACTGTTACTACCACATCTAGTACCACGACTACGCCTATTACTGGTACTACTACTACGACTACGACTACTACTACTACTACTACCACCACTACTACCACCACTACTACCACTACTACCACTACCACTACCACTACAACTACTACTACCACTACTACCACTACTAC